TTGAGCGTAAATAGGCTTTTTGCGGAGAAATAAGTACTAGAAGCCTTGGACATTGGCCTCCGTAGTCTGGTCACCCTTAATAGCTTAGCTATAGAGTTATAGAGAGTATAAAATGCTGTGCTATCCCAGCTCCTCCATTGTCTGTGTGTGAGGCTGGAGTGGACAGGAAGAGGAAGGGATCGCTTCCTATCTGGCCACTAACAGCCTCTCACACAAGAAAGGCCTTGCAGGAGGAGCAGTGGAAGTTCACACTGATGCACATTGTATTACTAATCCTACAGCTCTGAGTGATCTACAGTAGACATAGTAGGGTACTAGCCCTTCAAACTCCAGCACTCAAAGCCTAAACCTGAAAATATACTCTACCTTAATCCCGTGTTTAACTCCTCTTAAAATCGAAACAAGCCTTGTTCTCAAATGCTGACTTTAACCTTACTGGAATCCGAAAGCCAATAATCCTAAAGCTCTTATACTACAACTGTAACCCCTCTTGAGCTTTTTTTCTTCTTAACACTAAACACCCTATATTATCTGTAATCCTCCATGAATTTACACAGCAGCATACACTCACATATTCAAATGCCGTACATTCCAAGCAGAGCAGAAATATACACATAAATACATTTATACATATACATCAGCCAAATATCAATATGTCCAGGTAATAAATTGCCTTTATTTTGGTTGTGAAGCAGGGGGAACCTTAGAATTTTGTGCCTACATGCACCAGATATTCTACCCTGCTCCAGTGTGTTAAAGAACGTAAAAACAATGGTTTAATAGGCAAGTACAATACTTTTATTATGTTTCTATTAATGTGCTAATTAGAAATATCTATCTATATTTAAGGTACAACATTAATGATTTTATTCAGTGAATATATAGTCATTGTAACTTGTGAAAAAATTTAAGGGATCACTATAGTGTCAGGAAAACAAACCTGTTTTCCTGACAATATACAATCCTAATAGTCCCCCCACCATCAGGGTCCCCCTGCCGCTGGGCTGAAGGGCCATTTACCTTAATCCAGCGCCGGGCTCCCTCTGCGCTGGTGACCTCTCCTCCCCCACCGACTTCAGCTCCCGAGTGGAGCTGAATGCACATGCGCAGCAAGAGCCGCGCGCACATTCAAACAGTCCATAGGAAACATTTATCAATGCTTTCCTATGGACGTTCTGCATGCTCAATGCGATTTTCGCATCCAGCATCGCAGAAGCGCCTCTAGCAGCTGTCAGGAAGACAGCCACTAGAGGCTGGATTAACCCTACAATGTAAACATTCTCTGAAACTGCTATGTTTTCATCTGAAGGGTTAAAATGTGAGGGAGACCTGGCACCCAGACCACTTCATTGAGCTGAAGTGGTCTGGGTGACTATAGTGTCCCTTTAATTTATATTTTCCTGCATAGCTATATTGACCTCATGGAGCATGTCAATTATCACAAGAATTATTTAAAGATGGATGTCTATTCTGGTTTGTACCTGATTCTCTTTTATGACACAGTTTTTGACCAGGAAGCATCCATGCTATAGTTTTCAGACTCTGGATTAAAAATCAGAGTAATGGAAACTTTAGTCTTTGAAAAGGCGAACATTTGATTTCGAACTTTTATGCAGGATTTGCCATCGACACCAAGATGAAACCCATCAGAAGAATCCATTTATTACCAAGACAGCATAGCTAACTCATATGGTTTAGAAAGATCACCAGCTGTTTCTATGTTAGAATGAGAAGGTAAAAAATTATGGCAATCTGTGTGATGTAAATCGAGGATTTATCTTGTGTGGGAAGTTGTCTGAGAGTTGATCAGGCAGCATTTGAACACACAAACTACAAACTCACTTGCAGCTAACAGGTGAGGCTTTCATATAAGAGGCTCTTGCCTCTGGTCACTCCTCAAATTTCTCTCATTGCTAACTAAAAAAAGACCTCTTGTTTTATGAAATGAATATAGAGAACCTAGTGGGAGACCACTAAAGACTAAAAATTGAAATTAGCAACTCACAATTCCCCTATGGATAATGGTAATCCAATGCACATGAATATTCAACACATACTACAAACCAAAATGAAAAGCTACATTTTTTGGAAATATAAAGAAGAAATGTTAATAATTATATTTTCTAAAATGTAAATCTTCAAGATACTAAGTATTATATATGGGTTATGCCAATTAATGTTCTGGTTTATTCAAAAGAATTGAAAATTTTGTTGATATATTTTGCGGGGTTTTTTTTTATTTTTTAAATTGATTCTTTTTTTGTCCCTTTACTTCACCTTAGCTTTTTTTTTTTTTTTATTTACTTTTTGGTTATACATAAGAGAAAGTAATTACTTCTTAAATGCCAGAGTGGCCACTATTAAGACATTTAATTTGTGAAAGAGTTAAAAGTTTTAAAACAGATTGGAAATTTAAAAGCGTATATTTAAAAGAAGATAAAATACCTCATCAAGAGGACATAGTCTTAAATTAGAGGGACAAAGGTTTAAACATAATATCAGGTAATATTACTTTACTGAGAGGGTAGTGGATGCATGGAATAGCCTTCCAGTTGAAGTGGTAGAGTTAACACAGTAAAGGAGTTTAAGCATGCGTGGGATAGGCATAAGGCTACCCTAACTATAAGATAAGGCCAGGGACTAATGAAAGTATTTAGAAAATTGGGCAGACTAGATGGGCCGAATGGTTCTTATCTACCGTCACAGTCTGTGTTTCTATTATTATTATTTTATTTATATAGCGCCAGCAAATTCCTATGACCAAGAATCCAAATCAAACATACTATTCTCTAGTTTTACGCATTGGAATAAGCACACTAGAAAGGCCGCGTGATTTCTGTCTGCAGTCTGTATTTTTATATTTTGTTATGAATTTACCCTTACAGAAAACCTTTAGTTGTGATGAACAACTCTTAATTATAATTTTAGAAAAAAAAATCTTTATTTTTACATCCTTATTTTCCTTTCTGTTGCGACCAATTTCCTGTCAGTGACCAATTAGCAAATTGTCTAGAAGTTGTCACTAGGCTTGCAACACAACATGTTTCCCAGGAGCCTTAATTGTTCTTACAGTTCAATTGACCAGAAAGGATTTAGAAGTTGCACCTTTAAAGATGTGGCATGGTTGCTACCCACAATGCACTGCACATGGATCACAAGGTGTGTTAGAATTCAACAATGCAGCATTATTATTGTTCTGTCAACAGAAGTCTGGTGAACACATTTGGCTTGGCAATGGCCCAAAATTACTGATATGTTTGCTGTTAGCATCCATGGCATTTATCGCAAACGTTCACTCATTTTTTCAAGCCTTATTCAGACAGTAGACAAAGAAGAGCCATTAATAGACATAAAACGTGTTGTAACATATGTCAAACCGAGAAAATAGCCATTTCTTTGAAGTCTTTCTTTTTAATGATACAAAGTTCCAAAGGAAAATAAATGGTTATGTATAAAAAGTGACGCACAGTAGTGCAATCTATAGTTTGATTAGCGTGAGCCGGTTCGTCCACCTCAAATTTATGTTAATTTACATCCAAATTAATCATTCCATCCAAGATTTGCCTGCGGAGTCTTATTCAATAAGTAAGATTCATTGGGTTATGTTAGCTCTAGGAGCATGATGACACTATAACCACTTTTATACAGAGTACAAACTCACACTCTAAGAGTAAAAATCTCTAGGTATTAATTTGTAGCAATAGAGCAATATGCCCCTTATGGCCCCCTCAAAAGTGACTACTCTTAAATAAGTGCTGATCCTGCAGGTGATGACTGTGGATGAAGCCATCGGCGTCATACTGTTCAATCGGTGCAAATTAATACCTTGACCATTTTGCTGTGTGAGTGATCCATTTTTAAGTTTGTGTATACATTGTAGTGATGGTATTGCATTATGTATTTTTTTTATATAATACATTCAACCTGGATACTTTGCATTAGAATTATATGTTGTGGAATGTAAATTTATACTTGTTGCAGAGAATAATTCACTGGGTACTATTTAGCACTGTTTAGATAGATCATTTTTCTAGCTCCCGTAGTTTTTTATTTTTTTATTTGTTTTGGGAATAATTTGAGAGTCTTATTCCCAGTGGCAGAAGATTATAGGACATACAGTATGTGAATGCACTTTATCTTTAATCTTTATTTGTATCACTTTTGGAATTTAGAAAACATCATGTTTAGCTTCCTAGAACAAATGTTAAGTCACGTGACCGTGTTACCCATTGTTTTAATGTATGTTATTATGTTCTTTTAAAACCACTTCCTGCTAGTAAGCTATGCTCTACAAATTAATTAGCCCCACAGGCGTATATATTTGTGCCTTTTTTAGCTTTACCTGGAAATACTGGTTGTTAAGCTGAGCGGAAAATTCACTTGTGACTGGGGTGTAATGAGTAACCTTGGTCAGTAACATATTCAGTTTTATTTACTTAAGTGAGAATTTAAAGCTGAGTGTGGGCCTGGATCAGGTGTGCTTTATTCCATAGAGGCATTCGGCTACTCCTGCAGAAGACTGAATGTGGTGCGGGCACCTGGGGAACACCGGTAAGTTGTCAAACCTTACTAACACTTACATACAGGTTTGATTACTTACTGCGGGACAGAGCAATGTCACTCCGAGCACCATAAACTTCAGTGAGCTGTAGTGGTTATGGTGTTTGTAGTGTTCCTTTAAGGGACTATCTTGATTGGTTGAGTTACTTCCTGGTGTGAGCAGGGCTCACTATGAGAGCCAAAAAGCCTTAGCGTTTACAGCAAATACAGTAAATGAAAATGTAAGTATATTTATTTTGTATTCAATTCTTTTTAGTTTATTGTTATTGTGTACATTTTAATGCATGAATACGAAGTCTCAAAATAACTGACATTCTGATGTTATCGGTGTAATTTTAATAGATATGTCCGGGGAAATATTTGTATTTTTGTGAATGTTAATCCTGTATCCAAGCCAGAATAAATCCAAGAATACGTTGTTTTACTTCTTGCCTCCTGCAGCATTGAGTGATATGTTTCCGTATTAAAGATGGATGGATGAGATCTCATTATGTAAGTAGTTACATTTATTGAATGAGATATTATTAGCTTTGTATATGAATAAGATGCTTTTAGTACTCTAGCTGTATGTGCCATTTTCCCTTTATTACCAATCCGAAACCACATTGTATGAATTAAGGTGTCACAGAGAAGTGCTTAGATGTTACCCAGGTTCCTCTTATGCATTTGTTGCAGTCCCCACAATTTTAATTAATGAAATCAGTATAATGAATAGGGTCACTCTAACCATTACAACCACTAGAACTCTCTGTAGTGGTAATGGTGCCAGCATACCGCTGGCACCATCATTCAGTTCTTTGACTTGGCCTCTCTCCATATTGTTATTCAGTCATAGCTATGTTGACATCATAACCTCTACAGCATGCTGTAGTCTTTATGGTGCTTAGAATACCCCTGTAAATTAGTGATCAATTTGACAATAAAATCAAAACGTTTTTAATTCTGTGTAATTTTATTTACTAACAATATTTAATAAGTTAACTAAATTGCAAACTGTAAGCCTAGATAACCTTTTTTGTGCATTATAAATGATAAGTAATAACGCTTGCCCTTGATAAAAGGTAATATACAAATGCACAGTAAAAATCATTATGTTTTAACTGACTTCTCCCAGTGTTGTCTCTCAGGAGCTAGAAGCTAAAAGAAGTGCAGTATTAAAATTTTTAATTCCAATATTAATATCAAATCCCACACTGTGCAAGTGCCAACTCTCTAGATAGTGGTGAAGTAAGAATGGTAAAAAAAAAATAACTCTCAGCTACAACATGGAAAATAAACATGCAATCAGGTAAACAAAAAAAATATTTTTGGGAGTCTTGGGGTCTTTAAAACCCTTAAAAAGCCAAAGGCACCTCACAATTTATGTGGCTAGTCTCTCAGATTTGCTAGACTAATCCCACCATGCCACGTACAGCAAGACTATTGACAATAGAGGGAGTATAATGTTTATAGCTTCCTTTGTTGTGTGTTGTGGCAGAGCTGAGGCTCTCCTAGTGGTATGTGACAGCCATAAATTATCTTTAAGCTTTCCACTCTTGATGTTATCTTACTGCTCTGTCCATTATCCCATTATTGCCTGGTATTATACTAACAGGTCAGTCTTAAAGCTGGTTATACATTTGCTTGCAAGTAGCTTAGGAACAAACTCTTACACAAACTCTTAATAAAGTAATGTCCCTTCCCACAAGGATTTAAAGTGAAGCAGTCACCCGAAACAAACATTTCACATTCATACCTGGACATGTTCTATTTCTGGACCTGAGAATATTCAACTTATTAAGCGGTTTATATCAGCTCACAAATATTCTAACTAGTAATGTGCCAATCGTGTAATGGCTCTAGTAAAAATCCTCATGAAAATGTCTAATTTCAGCAAAATCCAAAATTAATTTACCTGTAGTCAAGCGAAGATTTTAGCTTTTATACTGACCTAGCTCTTTTAAAAAATTTTTTTTTTATTGCACCTACAAACTTTGTTATAGATAGGAGAATGAATGCAGGGAAAGTGCATCTTGGTGCATCTGAAGTAACTTTCCTTGCAAGTGTTCCATGTAGCTCAGTGTTTTTTTTTTTTTTTGCCCCCGCATCAATGTCCAAAATTGAATTCCAATGCTATTTCAGTGGGTACCCAGTTTTTGGAGCATGCACATCACTTTTAAATAAATAAAAATAAATGATCTTTCTTTTACTGCATACAAGATGGAATATTCTATAGACTAGGCCAGTAGTAGACAACCATCCAAACTTCAGATGTTGTGGACTACATCTCCCCTTATGCTTTGACAGCAATATGGCTGTAAGGACGTGATGGGAGATATGGCCCAAAACATCTGGAGTGCCAAGGGTTGCCTGTTCCATGGACTAGGCAGAGTCTATGTGTTCTCTTGCCTCTTCTTCCACTGATATGGTTCGACGGCTATGGGGAATTCTAATGCGGCATGCAGCAGTTTTAACAATGGGTCACTCACCAAGCTCTCAGGCCAAACCCCTAGAAATTGTCATTTTAGAAAAGATAAAGGACAGTAGAGGATGCCCACGAACTGGTCCTAGTAATTGGCGACTGGTTACCCAAGACACCCAAGTGGTGGCTAAATGAGGAAAAGCTAAACAAATTCAGCATTAAACACCAAATGTGGTCTAAGAAAGAATGTTTTAAAAAAGGTTTCACTAAGATGGATCAATGCAGGGTAGGCAAATTCTTATAAAATATTTGAGTGGCAAATAAAAAAAAAAAATGATCCGAGCAGGAATTGTTTTATTCTGTATTATATTGAAATTATTTTCACCCTGCAGGTTGAAATAGTAAAGGAATCATTTACTAAGATGAAAGAAGAAATTGGTTTGAAAATGCAAAGCTTTTATGAGCCCCAGTGGACCAGGAATCGCAGGCCTGAGACTGCAATATGGAAAATATCCAAAATGGACGCAAGAAGAGAAAGTTATAGCAAATCCGCTCCGGAACGTGGAAATCCCTTTGAGACCCAAGTACTATATTAAATTTACTTTTTTTTCCTCATTTAATGTGAACATTAAATAAATGGTATTGTTTAAAATGCAGAACATTGCTTTGGCATACCTGAAAATTGGTGGGACACCCTTCCCATCACCTACAAACGTCAGAGGGAGAGATAAAGTAGCTTTCTGTTACCATCACGGAGTAAGCAGTTAAATTATTTAAAAGAGATGCAATAGGCTGATAGAGAGAAGAGGAATAAAATGTTTGGAGAGAAAAGGGTTAGACCAATTTAAATATAGGACCCAACTCAAGTGGGTGCAGCCAGTGGCGTACACATGACCCATGGGGCCCCGGTGCGAAAATTGATCCGTGGGCCCCCCCCCCTCTGCGCGCGGGCCGGGCCGCAACACATGGCGGTGGGCACCTGGTCGCAGGGGTTACAGGGCTGCGACCCTTGCGACCGCAGTATGTACGCCAGTGCATGCAGATGCACACACACACTTAAAGGACCACTCTAGGCACCCAGACCACTTCAGCTTAATGAAGTGGTCTGGGTGCCAGGTCCAGCTAGGGTTAACCCATTTTTTCATAAACAGAGCAGTTTCAGAGAAACTGCTATGTTTATGAATGGGTTAAGCCTTCCCCTATTTCCTCTAGCGGCTGTCTCATTGACAGCTGCTAGAGGCGCTTGCGTGCTTCTCACTGTTATTTTCACAGTGAGAGCACACCAGCATCCATAGGAAAGCATTATGAATGCTTTCCTATGTGACCGGCTGAATGCACGCGCAGCTCTTGCCGCGCATGCGCATACAGCCGACGGGAAGGAGAAGAGGAGGGTCGGAGGAGGAGAGCTCTCCGCCCAGCGCTGGAAAAAGGTAAGTTTTGCGCCTTTTCCCCTTTCCAGAGCCGGGCGGGAGGGGGTCCCTGAGGGTGGGGGAACCCTCAGGGCTCTATAGTGGTCCTTTAAAGGACCACTACAGACACCCAGATCACATCAGCTCAATGACGTTGTCTGGGTGTCAGGTCCCTCTAGTTTTAACCCTGCAGCTGAAAACATAGCAGTTTCAGAGAAACTGCTATGTTTCACTGAGGGTTAATCCAGCCTCTAGTGGCTGTCTCACTGACAGCCGCTAGAGGAGCACACTGAACGTCCATAGGAAAGCATTGAGTAATGCTCTCCTATGGGCGGTTTGAATGCGTGCGCGGTCGCATTCGGAGCTGAGAGGCTGAGGGATCCTCAGCGCCAAGGGAGTCCGGCGCTGGAGAAAGGTAAGTGCTGAAGACACACACACACTCGCACTTACAGACTCATACACACTAGCTAACAGACACACACATTTACTGACAGAGACACAGTCAGCGACAGACATACATACACACTCACTTACAAAACATACACTCTCATTGACAAACACACATTCACTAACAGACATCAAACAGACTCACTAACACACACACACAGTAACACACTCACTAGCAGACACACACACTAACACTCACACTAACTAGCAGACACACACACTAACACTCACACTAACTAGCAGACACACACACTAACTCTAACACTCACACACATTAACATTAACACTCACACTAACTAGCAGACACACACACACACTAACACTCACTCTAACACTTAAACACTAACACTAACACTAGTTTTTTTTTTTTTATGTAATCCCCCCAGCCTCCTTACCTTTTGGAGTGCTGGGGGGATTCCCTGGGGTCCAGTGGTGCTGCTGGGCTCCTGGGCGGGTGGCCGGTCGGGCAGGCAGGCGGGCGCGCGAGGGAGCACCCGTGCTTCCTCTTCGGCTCCCTCGACGCCGCGTATGGATGCCGGCGCTGGAAGATGACGCCATCTTCCGGCTCCGGTATCAGTGCGGTGCGCGAGGGAGCTGAAGAGGAAGCACTGAGTGCTCCCTCGCGCGCCCGCCTGCCTGCCCGACCAGCCACCCGCCTTCCAGGTGTCAGCAGGGCCAGCCTCGGGGGGCCCTCGGGTGGTCGGCTCCTGGGCCCCCCAGGGGAAGAGGCTGGCCCTGTGGGTACATACCGGGTCGCAGGGGCGGCCGGGCCCCCTGGTGGGCCAGGCCCGGTCACAGCCATGACCCCTGCGACCCTGGTATGTACGCCACTGGGTGCAGCCACACCTTTTTTTTTTTTTATTTTTTTTTTTATTTGTCCATGAAAAATCACATAAAGCACACAATGCCACAACAGCTAGAGCATGCAGAGTGTCATACATAGATTTACATTGGTTAGGCATTGGTAAAAACATAGCACAGTTTTATGGAATATTATCGCGTGACAAAGAGTTATATCCAATCCTATTATTAATGACCGCATTAAACTAGATTATCCAGGAAGAAAACACTATAGACTTAGTTCTATGTCAGGGTGGGTTAAACTGCAGGTTATGCACCAGGGAAATGTAGCTTGACCAGAGATATCTGTATTGGTAGAGCGAAGCTATGACTAATATTCCCTGTGGTAGAAGGTACACTAGTGAAGCAAGGTTAGATATATAGTGTTGGCTTAACGTTTTGACTATGTAATACTTATTCCAACTTGAGGGGGAAGATGTTATCAAGAACCTTGTTATAGTTGTTGGCAGGCATGAAGTATATGTAAACAATATAGGCTACACTTGCTGGATACTTGGCATGTTAGTAATAGAGTGAACACAAACTAAATAAATTTAACGTGTTATAAGATTGCTAACAGGTGCATTTATAACGAGTGTTACTTTGACATAGTGTTTGACCAGGGCAATAAACGATAGCGCAGTCATGCTTATCTAAGTGTGCTAAATTTCATCTAGCTCAGAGGGACAAGGCTTAATAACATTGCAGGACATAGTCCTCCATGACTGCATGGACGTGGTGGCGTGGCAGCAGTCCAAGCCTCAGTGTGGCAGTGAGAGTAAGTGAAAGTCAGCCGACTCCTGTAGTCGGCACTGGCCGGGCTCATACCGGAGAGTCCCATGGGGCCTCGGCGTCGCTGGCCATGAAGGTTAGAGGGACTCCGCCGCTGCCTCCCGGTCCTGCGTGAGTGCCTTGGGTGGTGGGGAGGTATACTTGGTGGCGTGGCAGCTTCTCCGCTCCCCGTGCTGTTTGGTGAGTGTGGGTCTCTGTATGTCCCCTTGATGCAGAGGCACAGCCCTTCGGAGTGCTTGCAGCTGTGCATCGCTGCACGTGGGTAAGGCGTTGACAGGCTTTCTTGGCCGGGAATAGGCCCCTCGAGTGCGCCATTTTAGTATGTAGAGCGGAGGGCCGTGTTAAGTGGCTCTCCGAGCCCGTCGGGACCCAGGCTTGCGGTGTTGGGTGCTCGGTCTGCGATTTTTAAATCTAGGTAGAGCTCTTGTTGCCCTCTGCCGCTTTGTGTTGGTCGGTGGCATGGCTATGCATTTCAACGCAGGTATACTTGCAGGAGAGGTGGCAGGCAGTCGGGTGGCTGCCTGGTTCTGTGCCACCGTGTCCAGAAAAGGTCGAAGGCTGCCGCTATGCGGTCCTCTTGGGTGTGCTCACTTGCTGGCTGCGCCGATAAGGGTTGGACATGTGGGGGTTCAGAAGCTCGGTCGGCAGCCGCCATCTTGGCCTCTGGGTGTGTGCTACTTGCAGTCTTGGAGGCTTGCGGGGTTCTGCAGCCCTGTGTAGTCTGGACCGGGATGACCCCGCCGGTCCATGGGGGGGAAATAAGGGCCTTTAGCCATCGAGGTAGCTAGTCGCAGCGGTGGGAGAGCGGCCTGTAGCAGATGGCACCAGGCGACCCTACAAGAAATACTGTATAAAGCTGCATACGTGTATCTGCTGTAATTTCTGTGTATTTAAAAAGAATTGTATTCCTCTGATTGTTCGGTAGTTTCATTCCCTTAGTTTATTCGTATGAAACTACCGAACAACCAGACCTCCCTGTGTGAAGTGTGTCCTCAATTACCCGTTGCAACATTGTTGCGAACGGGTAATTGAACAGTAAGTAGCCGTCCTTTGTTCTCGGGGGTGGCCGCCATTCGACAAACGAACACGTGGCGGCGGCCATTTTAAAACTCCCGAACAGCGGTGTTTTGCCGTCGAGTGCCTGGAACTAAAATCGGACACTCGAGTAGGCGAACACCGCTGAGACCTCCACAGCCCTGGTCCGTTCGGTTCCAAACTACCGAACGGCCCCTCGTTCGGTAAATAGAGAATACCGAACGAGGGGATTCAGGCGAACCCTCCCTAGCCTCTATAGCTAGAGGCTTTCGTGTATTTTATTCCCTTATGCCAGGACCGACCGCAAGGCCCATTCACATGGAACCGAATTCGGCTATCTCTGTTCGTGCGGTCGGTCATTTTATTCCCTCCATACTTTTCCCGAACCCCTGGTCCGATCTGGGTGATTTTTGGATATGTTGTTCACCCAGATCAGGGCTATCAGGGGGTGTAGGATTTAAAGGGGTACCCCTACGTTTAGGGGTACATCCAGAAACGGGGGGAATTGGTGTGCTGGATAAGGGGATTATGATGCTGGCTGAGGGGAGGGGATGTGTGGGAGGTTACCAGGACAGGATTGGCTACTGTAATAATTACTGTAAGTTCCTCCCTTGCATGGGAGCATGCTTTATAAGGAGACTGTGATTAAAGGCTTGCCAGTTATGCTCCTGAAACTGTGTGTCGTCCAGTTATTGGGATTGCTGTTGGGATATTGCTGTATTTTACCTGCTGGAAACCCTGCCTTTGGATTTACTATTTACTTGTTCCTGAGTCTCACTTGGATTATAAGCGGAGATAACCTGGGTAATATTGCATCTCCGCTACACGGCCGTCCCTCCCGCGCTCGCCATGTGAGTAGGCCTCGATTGCCTGATCGGTGAGGGTAGCTTGTGTTGCCGTTTGTGGGGTATCATTCTATTCTGGTAATGTCCCCTTTCGGTTGGTGGCCATTGTGACCCGATTAGTCGCTTTGTGGAGTGTGAAAGTAGCTTTTAAGTGTAGCTTGCTGCAGGAGCTCTTGTGGTTCACGTCTTCCCTGCACGTCTTCCCTTCTCTTGCCATGCATGCGCATTCAGCCGATGACGGCAGAAGAAGGAGGAGATTCCCCAGTGCCGAGGGAGCCTGGCGCTGGAAAAAGTTAAGTGTTTAACCCCTTCCTCACCCTAGAGCCCGGCGAGAGGGGGCCGAGGGTGAGGGGGGCCCAAGGACCCTATAGAACCAGGAAAAAGAGTGTTTTCCTGGCACTATAGTGGTCCTTTAACAAGTCATACCTCCCAACAGTTGTAGATAATAGTTTCTACAGTACCACATTTCTGATTAGCATTCCATCTTTTTTTTTTTTATCTGTGGTCTCTTTTTTTTTTTTATTGACAAATAAGAGAAAGTACTCAGAAAATACAAGAGTAAATTTATAACCAATCACAGGTAGTATCAATTGAACACAAGTTTGCAGTCAAAATGGCATTTAGGTTTAGCCAGTTTTTCTGTGCTCTGCACTATATTAAATCTCTCACGCAAATGACGTGGATTTCTTACAAAAAGCATGGTTGCCCCTTTCCTATACTTTTCTGAGCACGACATTTATTTTACAACACTAGTGGTAATCCAGCATGCAAACTCAGACAGTTCCAATTATTTACCACAGTAAATCCACCAGGAGACTATAAAACTCAGCACATGTCTAAGTCTTCTGCAATCACCTCAGCAAATGGCTCTTAAGAAATTATTTAGTAAACAGTGAGTTTTAGTTAATTGAAGACAGAATTACAAAAATGAAATTAGGAAAATAGCTGATATACATTTTAGGCTAAATTTTGAAATTCAATTCTAAATTTACTACAATTTGTATTTTAGTGCATAAATCTCCTAATGCTTGCATATACCTGAATTTCTACGTTTAATGGGTGTTTGCTGAAAACCAGCACAAACTGATTTCATAAGGGAGAGGGTGTCAGGTTGCTAGGTAGAAGATGGGGGGTAACCCCTAATTTAATTTTAATAGCCATTAAGTGTCGAAACGCCGTCGGGACGCTTGTGTTTGGGGTCAGCGTGTTATACGGGAAGATACTGCAGCAAATATGTGATTTTGTAGACAGCCACCACACTCATAACAATTTTTGTTTTTACTGCTTCTATTGATTGGTTTTAAAACACATTTTTACTTTCCGCATTTTTTGATCTATCACATATTTTTTTCTTATATGGTGTTATTCTTATTACCTTCTTATCTTGTATTAATAACAGAGGGGCTAGTTTAAAGCTTAGCTACAGGCATTTCACCCTGCTAGGAGGGAAGGGTGGTCTAGATTTTTTAAGGGGTGCCCTCGAAGGCACAATAGGAGTAATATAGTCCCTCTCCCTTCTTATTGTCGTTCCCCATCCCTCCTCTTTATACTCTTACAAACATTTTTGCCTACTTGTTCATTTTACATGCTATAGCATTATCTTGACTAAGATCATTACTTTATTTTGATTATTGTTTTTCTATATGTATTTTATAACATTATTCCTCCTCTTAAACTTTACCTTCATTTTCGTGTTCAGTTTGTCAAAAACCCAAATACAGCATGTTACATATAGATAGACTTTAATGCTTGTTTGTACTTTAAATAACTTACTTTCTCTTGTAGGATATATTCGGAGTTAGCATTTTCTCTCTAGCAAAAGTAGATGTAAAGTTTAGTGAGCTAGCTACTCCAACGGACATGATACAAATTTTTTAATCTAAAACAAAGAAATGTGTGAGTCACAAAAACAAGTAATACATCCAGGGTGCAAACCATACTGTGCACTTCCAAAAGTGCAATGCCCCTCAAATATTATAAGGATGCACACTAAACACACAGACTTGTAAAAAAAACCAAAAAAAACCCACTATTAATACAAAATAAAGCACTAAATAAATAAACAAAATAGCAAATAGTGATAGGGTATTCACAACACAATAAGCATACAATTCCAAACTCAATCCTACCAGAAAGTGAAACCAGTGTCATTAACTAATGTATTTTTCAAGGGACAAGTATGCTTGCTCTTATTGGTTATACTAAAGTCTAGCATGTAAACCAGGTGCTAGCTTGTAGTGCTTCATTATCATTTATCTCTGTAGTGGATATTAGAACTTCTTATAACAACCACGGATTATCATATCTGGATTAAGGTTGCCCAAGGTCCTAGGCATGATAACAGGTTGGCACCCCTTCCTAGAGTCCTGGGCTCTGTACTGTGAGTATTGTGTGTTTGTGTGGTGGCTGAGTGTTGTTTGTGTGAGAGAGACCAAGTGTTGTGTGTGAGAGTGTCTGTAGTGACAGACGGGTGTTTGTGTGGAGGAGGCTAAGAGTTGTATGTAGGGTGAAGGCTAAGTGTGCCTGTGTGTGCTGTTTGAGTGTTGTGTGTGTGTGTGTGTGGTTGCTGAATTTTATGTGTGGAGCGGACTGGCCGTTTTGTGTGTGTGTGTGTGTGTGTGTGTGTGTATAGGGGAGTATGAGTTTGACTGAGAGCTGTTTGTATGAGTAGTGTGCGTTTTGCCTCCCTCCTGTTTACCATTCCCTGGTGATCTATTAAAGGCTGAGCAGGATTGTGACAAACTACCATGGAAACCCTGTGATTCTCCTAGCCCAAGTTATGCTCCCCTCTATTCAGTAGTTCTATTTTTTGAACGCAAACCACCCCCCGGCTCATTATCTTCAACATAACCACAAAGTTAAGTGCTCTCTCTGGGCGGCCGCTGTTCATATAACCGAAAGACAAGTGCGCTGGAAAAAAGTGACCATCTTGTCTCCCGAACGCAGGCCGCAGTACTTGGTCATCGAGTGTCTGGAACTCCAAGCCTATAACTCGTGAACACCGGTAACTTTGTACCTCTGCCTGCTTCTGTTGCCAACAAGCCAGGAGAGCCCTATTTGGTGGAAAGGTATGCGCGAACTAGACAAAAAAAATCGCTACCTATGAGCCAGGGGAACAGTTTTGGGACTCCCGAAAGTGACCGACCGCTACCACTTTTCTTCTGGAACTAATTTGGGCTGATGCCACATGTGCGGTCGGTCAAAACTATACCCCAGTGGCGATTTGGCTGTATACTTGGGATCTGAGCGCTATTTGCACACTTTGGGCGCTCAGATCCAGGCTACCTGGGGATATAAGACTTGTTGGGGTCTCTATTAATATTATGTATGTTTTGGGGTGTTTTATGTTTTATTCCTTGTTCTAGTGCCTGGGAGATAATTAGTTTAAGTGAAGTAAAATCATTTGTCACGGGTTTGGAGTGAATGAGCTCGGTATGCAGAAATTTATATGGACAGTCACTAAATTAAAAGGTTTTATTTTGAAAACAAATAGATATAATGCAAAAGTCCCAATGCAAGTATAGCAATTCCTTCATAAGAAATAAAAGTCCTTAAAGAAAAATAAAGCCTTTACCAGTGACTTGGTAAATGAAGAGAGCTTTGATTGAAGCTGTAGTTGAATTGCAGGAGATGACTCAGAGCTGGGGCAGCGTTGCAGGGGTTAATCAAGGTTGAAACAACGTTGCAGGTGTTAATCAAGGTTGAAGGCAGGTTTCAGGCAGACAAGTTGATTCATGGGAATTCCACAGGTGAGGGTAATCAACTCACTTCAGTCAGGAGCTGGCTCTGTACTCCAGGAGAACAACAAAACAACTGGGCACAGACCCTAAGGTGGTCTGTGCTTAACCCCTTAGCGACCGAGGACGGTTCAGGACCGTCATCGGCATTTTTGCCTTGAGGACCGATGACGGTCCTGAACCGTCCTAACGGTCTGGGGGTACTTACCTGATCGCTGTCGTTCCCCCGGCGGCGATCAGTGTTCCTCCGGTTGTGGGGAGACTGCCTGCAGCCCAGACAGTCTCCCCACGGCAGATTAGGACCCCTGTGGCCATGTGATCGCTTAACACAGCGATCACATGGTCACAATAGGTGTCCATGTGTCTGCCTGCAGGGGACTGTCTGTGCTGACAGGCAGTCTCCCTGCTTGTGTAAAATCAGAAAAAAAAAATAAAGTTAGTGTTAATTAAAAAAAAATTAATAATTATATATGTGTATATATGATATATAGACATATATTATATCTATATAATATATGTCTATATATCATATATATATAATGTCATACTAAGTGTATTTTTATATTAATATGTACTTATATTAATATAAAAATACACTTATAATTAAATTACACACGTATATATATAATATATATAACAACTATATATATTGTATATATATATTATTATAAAATATAAATAATAAGTAATTTAAATTAAATAATTTTTTTTAAATAATAATAAAAAATTTAAAAAAATTATATAGCTATATGAAATTTTATTCTAACTGTATTTTAAAATTAATATATATATATTTATATCAAAACACACTTAGAATGAATTTGTATATATATCTATGTATATAAAAATAAATAAAAATAATAAGAAATATACATACGTCCATATACAAAATTACATAAATAATTATATAAATATACACGTAGACTTCAAATATATAAATATGCATATATATTTAAATTCTGCGTCGCGTATTCTTATAATAGTTTCTATAATTAAGTAATTTTATTGATTGCAATTTGAGGGACCTGCCTGACAACCCAGGCCGAAAGTCCAGAAAATTGAATTTGCTAGCACTGTATTTAACCCTGTAACTTTCTATGACACCCTGAAACCTGTACATGGGAGGTACTGTTTTACTTGGGAGACTTCGCTGAACACAAATATTAGTGTTTCAAAACAGTAAAACATATCACAACAATGATATTGTCAGTGAAAGCGAAATTTTTTGCATTTTCACACACAAACGAAGCACTTGCTGGTAGGCCGCGAATTGTTTGTGATACGTTTTCCAGTTTTTAAACACTAATATTTGTGTTCGCTAAAATCTCCTAATTATAATTTTATCTGGCTATAATAACCACGAAAGTTACAAGGTCAAATATATGGGTCAAATATTTTTTACATTGAAAATGGCTGGGTTGGTTACGTTGCCTTTGAGCGTATGTTGTAGAATGAGAATTACCCCATGATGGCACCATTTTGCAAAAGAAGACAACCCAGGTACGCAAATGGGGTATGTCCAGTCTTTTTTAGTAACCACTTGGTCACAAACACAGCCCAAAATTTAGCGTTTCGAAATTTAGTTTTTACTTAGGCAGGTGGCTGCTAAAAGGGCTGGACGCGCACCACATTGAATACCTGGGTTGTCTACTTTAAAAAATAATATGGGGGCGGGGCCTGACCGGGGAGCTGAACAGACACGCTTTCTGTGAGCTCCCAGGCCTGGATCTGATTTTTGGCAGAAAACAGTGGGAATACAGCCTATCTCAGAACCCCAACTTACCCCACCTTGCTACATGGAGGCAGGGGTACCGGGGGACACCTCACACGTGCAAAAGCCCGCTGGGAATCCAGACCGGAGGCTTGGGGCCTACAACATGCAGAGCAGGGGAGAGACGGCCGCTCTCCCGGCTCACCTAACAAGGCAGCACCCGAAGCATCGGGCTTCTCCCCCCCCCTCGGGACCGGCGGGGGTTATCCCGGTCCACACAATCGAGTACCACAAGCTTACATGGAATGCAGAAGACGGCAGCAGCCTAAATCGCATCCCCAACCAGCAAACCGCTAGTGACAAGATGGAGACCGAAATGGCCGCCGCCACGTGTGCCCGAGGCACAAAGAAACTTGACCTTGAGACCAGGCTGGAGGAGCTGTTCGCCAGGTTCTGGAGGACAATAGCCTCCAGGGAGCAACAGGCCAAGGCATACCACCCTGTCACAGTCCTGCCGGTGATCCCCCAACAAACGTGCACACCGCCTCGCGCCAACAAAGCCTGCGGATGGCAAAACCGAAAAGCCCGTAAACCCAAGCGACTACCAATACCTATGGCGGCGACCCGCTCATACAAGGGCCCGGCAAAACTTAACATACCTAGGAGGCACGAAAAGGCGGTCCCGCTGCAGCGACACACTGCGCTAAACGGGGACCGGACAGGGCCGAAGGGCCCCAGGCAGACCACACCGCAACACCCCTACCGACAACACTCGGAGGTAGGCCCTGGCATACCACGGAGGCGACACCACAGCCGGCGACACATCACCTCACGCAGACTCTTTCACGTTGGCAGGTCCACCCCACCGGAATGGGGCCATGCCTATATCAACGCAGAGACCCCATGCATCGAACGAAGAGGCTGGACACTCTATAACACCAAGAAGATCCCTGCAACCAGACTGCACGCCCTGAGAGTTGGAGTTGGCTAGGGGACTTGACCGACACAGCGGACATACCTAAACGCAGACAGTGGAGGACTCTATTTATGACAAGAGTGTAAATATGTACCTTCTTTTTTTTTTTTTTTTACGAGTTGCATTTATTATGTTATTCAACTTTCTTTTGCTCCATGTATGCCCCACAACTGCACCTACACACTTAATGTAAAGCCAGCGCCACTGCCGCCAACTAAACACTAAGCCCAATGTCCCATTGGTGCTGGGCACTTGCATACAGCAACCCGGCATGGCACATGGCTCTGTCAATGCTAGGGACCACGGGGGGAATGCCACTTGGGACGCAGCAATCACCTACCAAGCCTCTCCGAGTATAACCTCGATACCCTGCCACCAGAGTTGGTCCAGCACACTTATCCGTGGGACCACTAATCTATAGCCTTAATGGCTAGGAAGGTTCTAGTTGCTCATAAGCTAAACACCCACGTATAGGTAGACATACCAGCCTGCCATGATGGTGTCCAACCCGACACGTTACTAACTTAGGTCAGCCATGTCACAGCATATCTTACCACCATATCTCCTGCTGCTGCCACTAGCAATAACCAATCTTTTGACTCACTCAGCCTTTCCTTAACGCATGTAGTAACTTACTCATAGCTTGACCATCTCTTGCCACTGCAAAATAATCACATGCCCAGAAAGTTATGTTATGCAAACGTTATGCAAATGCCTAAACAAAGTAAAGCTATACTGTTTCTACCCTTATATATAAAAAATGTGCTTGATCTCCCTTGTACCCCTATGTTCCACTGTTCGTATTGTGCTAGAGGAATGCCTTTGGGGTACCTCACATGCAACTGTTATATGCCTATGCACTACAAAAATAAAGAATTTAAAAAAAATATGTACATGTGGGGTGTTATTCAGAGATTTATGACAGATAATAGTGTTACAATGTCACTATTGATAAATTTAAAAAAATTTATGTTTTGAAACCGCAATATTCTACTTGTACCTATAGCCCTATAACATGCAAAAAAGCATGTAAACACGGGGTATTTTTAAACTCAGGACAAAATTTTGAATCTATTTAGCAGTTTTTTTAATTCGCTTTTGTAGATGAGTAAAAGATTTTTCAAGTAAAAGTCAAAAAACATGTATTTTTTTCAATTTTTCATCATTTTTTTTATTTTTTTTAAATTAAAATACATGAGATTATATAAATAATGGTATGTAAAGAAAGCCCCTTTTGTCCTGAAAAAAACAATATATAATTTGTATGGGAACAGTAAATGAGAGAGCGGAAAATTCCAGCCAAACACAAACACCACAAAAGTGTAAAAATATGCCTGGTCGCAAATGTACAACATCGCAAAAACAGTCCAGTCCTTAAGGGGTTAAATAAAAAATAAAAAAATGGAAAATCAATATAGTTATCAATAATTGGATACCAATTGATTTTAAATAGTTTAGATAGGTTGTTTGAAAAATGACAAAACATCTTAAACAGGTATATGACAAATTAGATGACAAATTAGAAAAATAATGTCACAAAAAAATAATAATAATGGAAATAATAAAAATATATGAATGAAAATGAAAATAAAATAAAGATAAAAATGGAAATGAAAATAGAAATAAAAGTGAAAAACAATATAAATATAAAAATAATGATAATTTAAAAATAGAAATAGAAATAAAAATGAAAAAATAAATAAAATAAAATAAAATAAAAATTGGTATAAAAATAAGAATGCAGGAATATGTCAATACAGACAGATTTGAAGCAAAGGACCATAGATTTTTACATGAAACACACAAGGTCAATATCTGAATTTAATCCATTGGGCTCCAGCGTTTGCATCCTATAAATCCAATAAGCCTCCCTTTTGGATAATTTATTAATACGGTCTCCTCCTCTCCAGTGGGGGAGAACCTGTTCTATGCCTATGTATTTAAAATCTTTAAAGGTAAAGACAGGACAGGAGTTGCAATGTACCGGAACCTAATGGGCTTTCAAACCCCTTTTAATAATATTTATGTGCTCCATTATTCTGACCACAAAATCCGTGCGGCAGTCAATATTCAAACCCACAGAAAAAGTCTCCTTTGATGTAGTGCTATTAAAACTAGTGGCCCTCACCATCTGTATAGTGCTACAAGCCTCACATTCATGGCAACCTCTAAATCCTTTTTGGAAAGTTGGCTTTTTACTTTGTTTTTCTTTTACATAGCTGGGAGCTATCATACTTTTAAAATTTTGATTTCTTTTTTTTTTTGAAAATCATCTTGGGTTGTCTTGGTATTATGGAACCTCATTGGATCATTAAGTAGGATAGACCAATGTTTTTCTAGGCTTTTTTTATTTCTCTGTAATGGGTATTATATTGTCAAAAAGGCACACCTAAATGAATCCCTGTTTGATGTTTTGTTGATATTTGTGAGGAACTCGTTTCTTTCTCTGAGATATGACCCTAATTTCTCTTTCTATGTTATTTTTATTATAACCTCTTTGTATCAGTTTTTCCTTAATATAATTGGCTTGATTATTGAAATCCAATGTCTTAGAACAATGCCGACGGCTGGCTTTTAGCTATCCCTTTCAACCATGGATGGTAATGACAGCTTGTTTTGTGAACATGACTGTTATCATCCGTGGGTTTAAAATAACATTTAGTTCTAATGTCTGCTTTTTCTTAGAAAAGTTAGATCCAAAAAAAATATTATTTTTATCCCATATTGGGGTGAATTTCAAATAGAAATTACGGCAATTGAGAGATTGCACAAAATTGTTATCCTTCCAAATTATAATGTCATCGATGTAACGCCGCCAGAGGAGTAGGGGTAAACAGGAAAGGCCTTCTGGAAATAGGACAGGAAAGGCAGGCTTTCTGGAAACAGGATAGGCAGTGCCGTGACAATTTATCTCCCAGACACAGACGCCTGGGCGTGTTTTTTTTTTTTTTTTTTGCTGGGGGTATGTGTATAAAAGTGGGCCATCTGGCCATAATAAAACATTCCTCTTGTACCCTTCATCAAGTCTTGACTGATGCTTGGGTATGCAAATGACGAAGAGCTATTAATCACATAACTTTGCTGGAGTTCGGGAGAGTATGAACGGACGTAAGATTCCAAGGGACTATATTCAAACAACCTTACAGGAGTTCGGGACAGTGCGAATGAACGTACTATATGAAGTACATAGGGTTCGTTACAGGGATCAATTGTGATCTGTACCAATATCAGGTGCAGACCATCATTGGGTGCAGTCCTGACACTCAGTCAATGACTAAGAATGACAACTTGTTGGTAATCGATTGTGTCAAGCATAGAAGTAAGTCCACTGATGTTACATTTCCCATATACAGACAAAGCGTCATTTGAACTTTAGTTCATAAATATCTGGAATGCTACCTGTTATACTGCAATGTAGCTGTTGAGCAGATTCTGATCCAAACAGGGAAAGAACGTGTAGAGTGAGCAAGATGTCCAAGAGCTAACAGTAACCTATTGATTTAAAAACAAACAGGAAAAAGTGAATCGACTGCACCCACCCTATCCTAGCTTCATAGCCACTACAATAAGCTGCAGTGGCAAAGTGCTTGGGGTGTAATTTTAAAAGCAAAATTGTTGCCAACATGTGTTGTCTGATCACTCGCTTGTAATCCTACAAGGCAAGACTGGGTAAAGCCTAATGAATTTTAATGAAAAAGTAATTTATCTCCAAGTGCTGGCATGTTTATGTCCATTAGTATTTGTTTACAAATTGTCATTTACAACATTCATATATCACATCAAAGGGTTTATAGCTGTCTCAATTTCTTTGCAGTCTCTTATTACACCATCCTCTCCAGCCTCCTCACTGGATAATTACAGTACATCTGGGGTCATTAATTTACAGTCATCCAATGGATCACTCAGAGAGTCCTACAGATTAAACAACACTTCCCTGTTTGCACATCACATAGGTAAGGCCTGTAAAATGTGATAACGCATTGTGTGATAATCAACTAATTTATCATTTCTGCAATTGATTGTTCCATCAGTAAAAGAATATGAAAATCATACCAAAACATTTGTACTTTTCTATGTATTAATGTAGTAACAAGATATTTAATAATTAGATGTCAATACCATTCAGATAGCCTTGGACATGTCTTACAATGTTACACTTGTTTTAGTAATTCGGGCACTGTGATTGGGCAGTTCAGTACATAATTTTGGATTGGCTACATTTTGGCAACACGTAGGAAACTCACAATCCAAGTAATGAAACAGAATTATGGTTCACTATCAAGCCTGCCTAGCCATTAGTCTTAAGGGAACATTCCATTAACAAATAGCAATTCAGCTTGCTAAAGCACTTTAGAAGTCAGGAGCCTGTCACATGTGGTGGAGAAAAAGGGGAAGACTTGCAATGGCTTTAGACAAGAGATCTGCAGCTTTTGCAAGCTGTTTTTAGATATACAACCAATGGAAAAAAAAATCATAAATAAATGCATGCATGTTTTCTTTGGGAATTTGTCTACTAAATAGTGATTTTAAAAAAATAGGCAATGGAGTGTTCCTTTAAAATATACTGGTTAAATTATATATAATGTTATACAATGGAATGCACCTGCCGGTTCCTTTGGTGTAATTGTTGCCAGCTCCACTTTTAGTACTTTGCTCCACTTCTCAGAATACAGCACGTTATACACAACACCCATAGTCTATAAATGGCTAGAATGGAATTAGTGGAACACTAGTAAAAAAAACAAAAAACTGTAGGGTCATAGCTAGGCACCTATTCCTATGGTTATAATTAAATAAGATCATTAAGATTATGCAATTTGTGTTTTATTATATTTTCTTTTATGTATGATTTGGATAGCTCCAAGATAGAATCAGAAAACTGTGGCTCATTTCAAAAACAAAAATTGTTCATGTTAAGTAATATGTATTTTTTCCAATATTTTGAGGTCTTTATTTTTTCATGTAATTATGAAATAAAACTGCTGCAGAAGATCACAAATTAGAGTCCTCAATTACATGTGTTTGCTGTAGATTCCCCTATTACTACTATGCCATTGGATAGGTTCAAAAAACTAGATTATACAAAAAGTTCCAAAATCCTTCTTTTTAAATTGTTTCTGTATATGTTGTAGATCGAAAGCTTCCTCTCATTAACTCATCCAGTGATTTTTCCAAGACCAGCATGTCAGTAGATGGATCATCAATACACATACCTAATAGTGGATATCATAGCTCTCAAACGTACCTCACATCAGTAGAGCTAAAAACACCTTGGTACATATCTTTACTACATGAAAAGGTATGGTGCATTGTCCTGAAATTTCTACTCTACCAGCAAGAATTATTTAGTAAGTAAAGTTGAGTACTAAAAAAGTTGTGGTGAGAACACAAATGATAAAATTCCCCATTGGTTTACGCATCGATTTATGAATCTAAAGTAGGACCTTGTGCACAGTAATTCCGTAAGATCATGTTTCCGCAATGTTCTAGAATTATGCTTTTCTGCAGGTTGAAGTTGTGGTCAAAACAAACACTGTTAAAATTCTCAACTTTTTTATGTAAATTCAAAATACTGTTTCTATACATCTCATATGATTGTCTATGCTCATTTGCACTTCACGCTGGGAACCTTGTGAATTACTGCACCCAATTTAGATTTTTTTCCAAGGTCCTATTTGAGATGATGCACAAAAGTAAATGATAAATATAAATAAAATTATAATATGTTGAATGCTAAAATGAATCTGTCATGATCCAAAATTCTTCCACATTAGTTTAATTTTCATGATCAATTTTTTGTTGTAATTGAATCCACTGTGAAAATCACAGTGAGAAGCACGCAAGCGCCTCTAGCGGCTGTCAATGAGACAGCCACTAGAGGCTGGTTTAACGCTAATATAAACACAGCAGTTTCTCTGAAACTTCTATGTTTATAGAAAAAAGGGTAAACCCTAGCTGGACCTGTCACCCAGACCACTTCATTAAGCTGAAGTGGTCTGGGTGCCTATAGTGGTCCTTTAAGGTAGATGCTAACTAAAATTACAATTAACAGATACATACATCTTATTGGAAGTGTAGGCATTTAATGCCTTGTAGGAGACAACAAAATAAAAAACAAAACAAAAACACAGCAAAAAAGGTTCATTAGAGGATAATAGCTATTCTATCAAGTGTACAAATTATGTCTGCAAGATCTGTATCTCAAATAGCACCATGTATGTGTATGCATACATTCTGTAAATTCACAAACTAGTTCCTCTCTTTTTTTTTTTCTTGTCCATTATCAGGAACGCTATCTTCTTAAATTAGGAGAAGAAATAAATCGCCTCTCGAGGTATGAAGTAGAATGCAAGAAGAAGGATGAAATTATTTGCAACTTGAAGAATGTTATATTGCAGCTTGAGAGTGATTTAAAACAAGCAGTTCATATCGAAGTTGACTCACAACAGGTGGGCACTTGAAGTCAATGTATGCATAGATGACATCCTATTCATGTCAAACAAAAGGCTAATAAACACAAACACTCTATTTAAACACTTTATTCACTTGTGTTTACAGGAAGACACAGCTATAAAGCAAAATAATGAGCCAAATCAGCTTACAAGCTCTAAGAAACCACATATTAATACCTGTCCAATTAATAATAATTTCCAAGACGAATCAAAAGATTCTACACTAAGTCACAGAGATTCAGAAATGAATCCAGAAGGAAATAATTTGAATTCCTTATCAAACGTGTCTGAGTCACACAAAGAGAGTGAGCCGATACCACCTGAAACAGAGGTAATGTCTGGGTCTGTTCACTTCATGCTAATTTCTTTAAAAGTTAAAACTCCACATGTTACATGGAACACAACACTTATGATGAGCGATATTAAACTGGTAAATAGAATTCCCCTTAGCTAACGAACAAGTTTACTAAATTGGAACCTCTAAAGAGACACTCCAGACCGCTAAAGCGCTTTCTGTGTGAAGAGTGTGTCATCTTCTTTCATGTTACTTACTGCTTTGGTTAGCTCAGTGGAGCTAAACTCAAGAGGCAGCCAATTGCCCAGAGCACCTGGCATGCAGAGACCTCTCATTGAGCTGAATTTGGATGTCTGTGATTGGACAGTCACAGAAAGTTTGGGTGGAGTTACAAGGGGAGGGCTTCAAAAGGAAGCAGACAAGATATCTGCAAGTTTTGAAAGCTTTTTTTAGATATAACCCCAATTTAAAAAAATCGTAAATGAATGCATGCATGGTTTCATTGGGGTATGTCTATCTGCTAAACAGTGATTTATTCGTTTTTTATATTGAAAGTGGGATGTCCCCTTGATTAACTGGATTAACCTCAGAATATACACCCACACAGTGAAATAATTTATCTAGCCATGTAAAATAAAAAAGGTTTCAAAAATTATATTGATATAGAAGATTTTTTTAAGCAAATAATTTAAGAAGAACCCTTCCAAAACAGAATCAAGTTTAACTATTTTAATCAACTTGATAATAAAACTATGAAAACACATTTAGAAATTTGATAACTGCAGTGCAATTGCAAAATTTTGACGTGAGTTCCAGTCACACCAAGCTTTATTCCCTGGCCAAAAATGTTGAGTAATACAATACAGAGAATTACCATTTATCTTGGAATTCCCCTATCAATAATAACATGTGATCAATAATCTTCACAAGACTTTATGGCTGCAGCAGATTGACTTCTATAACTCTTGTGATATTTTTCGCATGCAGAATGTGGTCAAGACCCACAGGGCTGAAGGACAGTCTAATGATTCAGAAGAAGACTATTTTATCCAGAGCCAAACTGATGGTGGCATGGTTGTACCAAACATCAAAGTAAAACAAATTAATGAATTACAGAAAGAATTAGATAACCTTAAAAAAGACCATGAGATATCTAAAGGTAAATTTTAAATTTATTGAGAATATAGACATATTTTCTAATCTCGAATTCTACAAATGGGAATTTTATTAAATGATATGGAATATGTTTGGTTATGTCTGAATTATTTACAAATATTGTTTTAATTTGAAAGATTTCCTGTCAAAACTGTGCATTTTTTTAGGATTCATTCTGTTGTCACATCAAAACTGATGTACAGTTATTTGTGAAACATAATGAAAATTTTATATTCTTAGCTTCAAGGTGGATTCTCAATAAATAAATAATATTCTTAGAATTAAGGTGGGTGCTACTTGTGATTAAATAGAACAATAAATCTGATTATAATTAAATTATTATAATTATGTTTGTTTTATATCATTGTTCATTGATTTTAGGAACAATCTTCTCGCTGAAGAGACGGGTTTCGTTTCAAGAGTCTCAGCTCCGGAGAACAGAGTCCGAAAAGGACATTCTGGAAAAGCACCTAAAAGAGAGAGTAGTTCAGATCCAGGCCATGTCTACCAAGGTATTCAGAAGTAACAATCACTAGTTATTAATTATGTATGCAGCTCTTCCTGTAATATGTTGGGTGTTGAATACCATGTTACATTATTAAATCACTATTTAAAAATGCACTGTTGGTAGAGCATGTGTCACAATAGCCAGATTCCTGACAACAAGTTTGTAATGAATGGTTAAATGAATGCACACGAAGAGAGTATTGTTTAATAAGGTAAAGGGAAATTGGGTATAGTTCAATAGAATGCACATTCAGAATTGGTTATCTAAACTTAATAGGCAACGTTCTGTTCATGGCCTCGATTTTATATTTTTATTTACATTTATCAAATTATTTAATATTTTAATTTTAGTATTAAAAAAAAATGACCCCGAAAGGATTGGGCGTGCTATCCTGATAAATGGAGGCAGTGTGGAAATAAGATGCTAAATAATGCTCAAGTGGATTAGGGCTCACCAGTCCTGTGTAAGAAACTAAACAAAAGAAACACTAAATAAAATAGTAAGGTGGGTGCAGGTGCTACTGTAGCTAAGCAGTCGAGGGGTAAATAGATGCTGAACCCAAACCGGTTTGCTAAAATAATATTGTACTTAAAATGCAATTTAACAGGTACGGACAAATAACCTGTGATCTAGTCAATTACAGAAAATGACCATGTGTAATGATATAAACATCCACTAGGTGTCCTTAGAGTACCCTAATAACTTAAATTCTTGTAATTCTTTTTTGCTATATTTTGGACTCCATTTGGATTTTTAAGGGACAAAGATTTTTTTAAATTAAAGCAATTACACATAATTTCATTCTTATGTTATCTTGTGTGTGTATATAAGTTGATTTGTCTCTTTAAAGTTTTCCAGTCTGCGGGAAGAAAGAAAACACGAGGACATGATGGCAGCTATAGAAAAGGATAACTATAATTTAAGAGAGGTAAGCTTCGGAAGAATGGAGGGATCTGGGTGAAGCTCCCACTTAGCGGCTGCACACATAACAATATCGAATCTGCCTTTCGGATTATATTTGTATACCGTAATTAACAGTGAAATCAAGATCATTAATGAAGAAAGTTGCTTATTAAGCTCCATGGCATTGCACAGCTTTTATACAAGGTTATTCAATGAGAAATATCAGAAATGAAATCTATATGGATTTTCATATTTTAGGTAGAAATGCAAACATAGCTAACGTGGAGAATTTCTCAAATCTGGCTAACGTGACCTAAAATTAGAAATCCCTTTAAATTCCTGACAAATCATTCTAATGGACAGAATGAAAACATTGTTGACTTGGAGTCTTTTACTAGACTAACAGTACAATTGTTCCCTAAATAATCCATGGATGCTTACGGATTCCTTAGACTTCTATAATTGGTTTGAAAATTGTTTATATTTACTGATTTTCAAGGAAAAATATGCAAAAGGGTGCAGAAAAGATAAATGGGAAATCTGTAAGGAGAGCCCAATCATGTTCTTGGATGCAAAATGTATACTGTTATAGGAAGCATTCAGCTATACAAATCCAAAAGTATAGGTATGTGAGAGTTCCTATGTTAAAAATAAACACAGAAGAAGAGAGCCAGGTGGAAATTGTAAGTAGATAGCAGTTAAAAACAATCCAGAAGGGCACTGATATGCCGATCTACAACAACCTGCATACTGCTGTGCTTTACCCCTAGTTAACATGGATAGGCAACCTTCGGCACTCCAGATGCTGTGGACTACATCCCCCATAATGCTCTTACACTCATAATGCTGGCAAAGGAGCATGGGAGGTGTAGTCCAAAACATCTGGAGTGCCGAAGGTGCGATCTAGTACCATCTAGAGGCCTGTGGTTTACAAGCTGTGGCATTTGCTGAGGGAGTCTCGGACTAGTGCTGTCTGTGTCTCATCTGACAATGTATTGCTGGTGTCTGAGTGCTTATCTCAATGTTCTGCTATTGTCTCTTACTTTCATTTATTCTTTTCATTTACATTTTTTTATTGCTTGGCATTAGAGTCTTACCCTAATATCAAACCAAATCAATGTATCACTTATGTTAAGTCTAGTATTAGTAAACAGAAAACTTCTCTAATTTAATCCTACTTTAGTAGCATACATAGGTTATGAACCCAACACATCCTGACAATTTCTACTGACTTAAAGGACCACTCTAGGCACCCAGACCACTTCAGCTTAATGAAGTTGTCTGGGTGCCAGGTCCCTCTAGGATTAACCCTTTTTTTAATAAACATAGCAGTTTCAGAGAAACTGCTATGTTTATAATAGGGTTAATCCAGCCTCTAAAGCCTCTAGTGGCTGTCTCATTGACAGCCGCTAGAGGCGTTTGCGTGCTTCTCACTGTGAAAATCACAGTGAGAAGACGCAAGCGTCCATAGGAAAGCATTATGAATGCTTTCCTATGAGACTGGCTGAATGCTCGCGCAGCTCCTGCCGCGCATGCGCATTCAGCCGAAGAGGAGGCGGAGAGCTCCCCGCCCGGTGCTGGAAAAAAGTAAGACTTAACCCTTTCCTCTCCATCCAGCCCGGCGGGAGTGAGACCCTGAGGGTGGGGGCACCCTCAGGGCACTATAGTGCCAGGAAAACTAGTGTTTTCCTGGCACTATAGTGGTCCTTTAGTAGCTTCAGTCACTCTATCTTAACTTGCAATTTTCTCGCATGTGACTGTTATTCTCTTTTAATATACAAAATGAGATGTCTTTACAGATGCCAAAAATGCCCAGGCTATTGCATGCTGGTATTATTTGATTTGAGTAATAACATGCTGATAAAATCTCAATTTGTACTGATTTATCTGGTTATCATTGTACCAAAATGAGGTTTTCTTATACTGAAGTGTGCCAATTGCATTCATTACATTTTTCTGTACTTTATGGCTTTCCTAAACCTCAATAAAATATTAATTGACAATAAAAAAGCAATCCAAAAGGGGATTTGGGTTGGGTAGGGAAGTGCAAGAACGCATAGAGAACAGAGGAAGGCAATGAGCAAACAGAATAGGGAGATGTAGAAGAAAAACTAAAGAATGGGAGAAGCAAAGATATAACATATGAAAAAGGAAGCGTAATAATCATCATTTATGTTTTTGTACCTGTCCGCTATCCCTTGTACAGAGCTTAAGCCTGAGGACATCCAGCGTTACCCATAGGAAAGTATTATACAATGCTTTCATATTGGGAATGTCCTAATGCTAGTGCGGCCCTCACCGCGCATGCACATTAGGTCTCCACCGCTGGCTGACATCAGTGGAAGAGGAGTGGAGAGGAAATACATACATGTCCATAGGAAGAAGGAAGAAGTCAAATGGACACAAAAATGTTCCTTGTAGAATATAAGATAATATAACATAACATACAATAAGATACATTTTATTTAATCTCTGGAAAGAAAACATATAACATACACCCATTAAAAAGATCTATGAAGAAATATAAGCTCTATATTTAGATCAAGAAGTGGAGAGAGAGACTCTGAGATGGACTGGATGGGATGTTAAGTGATTAGAGGGGTGTAAATAGATTAACCCACAGGGATCCTATATACCAGCTACAGTTTGACTTCTTGGACTATAATACAAGATGAGCGCAAAAAACGGTGGCGCAAGAGAATACTGGGAACGGGCAGCAGCTGAAATAGCCCCGCTCAAATCTCAAGCTGGTTTTAGCTCATCTTGTGCCATTACAGAGAGAACATCTCTGAAACATATATCAGACTGGTCCCACCCATACAGGCAGTCCAGATCCGAAATGCCAGCAAGTTCCCCCTGCACGAGAGACACAGCAACCCCAGACTATCGTTTCAGCCTTGTTAGGCATCATCAGTAAGGCATAGCTGATATCCCTTTAGGCACCGTGAGCAAGGGGTTCACGTCTGGATTACCCTTTAAACTTGTGGAGAGCAAAAAACAGTGGCGCAAGAGAATACTAAGAACAGGCAGCAGCTGAAATAGCCTGCCCTTCGGTGGGTCCCCGCTCAGATCTCAAGCTGGTTTTAGCTCATCTTGTGCCATTACAGAGAGAACATCTCTGAAACTTATCAGACTGGCCCCACTCATACGGGCAGTCCAGATCCCGTAATACAAGATGATATACATTCCTGTAAACTGTTGGAGTGGAGGCTGAGCCTGAACCAGCGCCGGTGGACATCAACACTGGAATCAGGTAAGTGACAGAAGGGTTTTTTTAAAAAAATCTTTATTTTTGAAGTGCAAAAGGGATTACAAGCAAGCCTGTTGTTCCACGACAGCAGTAACAGGCATATCCAAGCAAACATTATCATGCCATCAGATTAAACTGCACAATTTTTATAATTCAACAGGATGGTGCTAATTATGTCAGAAGACGAGTAAGTATGGTTAGTACTAGCAGGTTTTTTTTAAGCTGGCGTGTGTGGTACTTTAACATGAGTAACAATAACATGCTTCTACTTTCATATAGTATACAGGCTTGAGTAATAGTGAAACAGTAGATATGACGGCAGTCTAGTAAGATAAAGCCTGGGAGACTGCTATGCACATTGACATGAAGGTTAGGTATTATACATGCCTGGCTATCTAGTTTTTGCGCATGGTTTTTAAAATATAAACAAGTTATGGCAGTTCAAGTGGGTGAATAATGTGCTCATTAAACATATAGCTTGAATTTGATTTCCACTGGGACAGCAATCAGTCTGTGAGACACAGTAGAAGAGAAAATAAAATAAGTTATGAATTAGTATCCTGTTCGGTCGTCCTATAGTATAGGCAATAGTATATCACCTTTAACGTGGTGTCTGGTGTTGCATAGTAGCTTGGTGTATATACCTATAGTGTGTGTGTTGTTGTGATGCTATCCCCTGGGTTGCCCCTACAGGTCATGGGGTGTGTGTAGATAGAGGTGTGCAAACTGAAAAAAAAAAAATCATGGCACAACACAAGTTAGGTTAAACAGTACATGTCTGCAATGCCCTAGTAGTGTATGTGGTTAAGATAAAGTTCAACATTTGAAGGCATTTAAAGCAGTCTGCACATTTCAAAGTAACTTGTGGTTCGGGCATGACTTGCAGGCATAATCATAAACATTTGCGGGGTGAATTAAGAATAACATGTACTGGATAACTGTCATATGACATGCTTATTGGTGTGTTATTCTCAGGCTTGGTATGACAGTAAGTCGTCACCTTTACTTGTAGGAGGGGACAGGCTAAGCTACCTATCAGTGGGATTGGCAAAAGTAGATTACTAAACCTGGGTTAAGTGTCAGGTGTGTGGGCCCGTCGTGATCTTCACTAGAGTTGGTGTCAGTCCAACCACAGTCCAGCTTTAGATGGACACAACTGTTGGTATCATTGACCTTGTGCTGCAATCTCCCTTCAGCTAGGTGGGTGGTGAAGGTCTCCTGGGGATATGCAAGGCGTAAAAGTCAGGCATGGAGCCCTGGGTGAAGAACAGTGTGATCCCCGCCAATTGTGATCCAACCCCAATTGTGGGTTGGAAACTTAGTATTGGACGGTTCCCCCATGGGATAGTATGTCCTGTGGTAGGCCTAGGGTCCGCAGCAGGGTTGGAGCCTCCTGGATGTACTGGATGTTGTGTGAGTCCGTCTGCTGTTGCACTGTTAGTGTTCGGGATTGCCGCCATCGGTATACGATCTTGTGGCGTTGGAGCAAGGAGCTGAGTGGTCGGAGTGACCTGCACCATGTCAGAGTGCCATTGGACAGATCCGCAAAGAAGGACAATTCTATGGCCTCGAAGTGGAGAGGTGTTTTTCCTCATAGGGCAGAGAGGATCACCGCATTGTCCCTGCTTTTGCGGAAGGTTGAAATGACATCTCTCGTGGCCTTGGCTGGGGCTCTTGCTGGCTTGGGGACCCTGAAGAGGGTTATTGTCTTGGCTTACCTGGGCGGTAATATAGTCGATAGTAGGCACCCCATGACCGTCGGCAGCTCAGCTTCCAGTACCTCCTCTGAAACCCCTCTGACTTTTACATTGAGCCTCCACCTGGAGTCCTCCTGACTCGCGAGGCGGCGTTCATACTGTTGGTTCTGCAGCTGCAGGTCCTGTATGGCCTGTTGGAGCGTGGCAATGCTCTGGGTGTTGGACTGAGTGGATCCCTCCAGTTTGTCGGTGCGGCCTGTCAGGCCTCGTAAGTCTTCTCGCAGTGCTATGACATCCGCGTGGATATTTTTGCAGGTCTGCTAACAGAGCTTTGAGGACTGCTGTGGTTGCTGGTTCGGAGTCTGCACCAGTTTTATTGTGTTTTACCGTCTGTACTGGGGCCGAAGTCGGTAGGTATTCTTCGTCTAGGTCTTCAGATAGCTCCTCGGAAAAATCAGAGCAGCCGCCATGCTGGGTACACTTGCACCTCGTGCTTGCCTCCCCGAGTTGGGCTTGTTTGGCATCCTTTTTTTTGGTTTTGCGCCCCAAGTGGCTTCAGGGTACCCTCCTGTCATTTTGGGGGTGATGAGGGTTAATCTGATCGTTTATTTCACCGGTTGAGGCTCAGAGCTGTGGACTCTTGCGACCGTTCGTTTCGGCGTTCAGGGGGCCCGCGAGAGAGGGGCAACAAAGGGAAGCTGTAGTGCCAGGAACACAACATTGTTTTCCTGGCACTAAAGTTTCCCTTTAAATAAAAGTGAAATTTTAACTTGTTCTAGAAGGGTGACAATAATCACGAATAAGAAAGAGCTTCTAAATATTCCAGTTTGGCTACTTCAACCTTAAATTTGAAATTCACTTTGAATTCTCACTTTAGTGTATAAACCTGTAAAAATATATATTTTAGTCAATGTTTGAATTGTGCAGAATATAATAGTTGTGTGTCCATTTCTTGTTCCATTAATGTACTGATCCACTTGTGAAATAAATGTATCAATAAATATATAGTAAAATATATATGTATTAAATAGTAATATATACAATCAATAACATGTTATTTTTCTATTTTCTGCTCTAGCTCATTTCAGAATTAAAATCTGAGCTGATGAAAAGAAATTATGTGATCGGTGATTTGAAAACACAAATTCAAAAATTACAGAAGGAGATTTCAGAATATCAGAAGCAAGTGAAGAAACGTGAAGATGAGAGAAATGTGATTCAGAGTAAGGCTGAAGACCTGGAAAGTTCTGAGCAGCATGTGAAAGTGTCTCTGGAATGCCTGCAGTCCAGGGTAAATGCATGGATTTCAGTCTTCCAATCAGTGGAGTGTGAATGACAGTAATTTTAAAGTGAAGTCCATATTGCAGACAAATACAGACAATTGGAAAAATTCTCAATTTTTTTTCATTTTATGTGATGGACTATAATTCGAACTTCACTTTAAATTCCCAACAAATCAAACTTCATTACCCAGTCGTAAACAATTGATATTAATTTTTTTTTTTTTTTTTACGTTGAAACAACTGTTTAATTCAAAAGCTTTTGCTTTGAGTAAGACAGTTGCCTCACTCTGCAGGCTGAAGAAAGCGAGTGCATATGATTTTTTTTTCATAGTTACCTGCTTCTTTTTTCTAAACCTACTTCAGGGAGACACTGATCTAACCAATCAGTGTTCTATCCCTAGGGATACTGAAAAGTGCATTGGACATGCCTGGCAATTTACACATGTGAAGTTAGATGATCTCTTCACCTTGCAACATCTTGACAGGGGGGGAAAAGAGTATGATCAGTGTGATCATGCAGAGCAGGCTTTGGTGGATATATCTTCAAGCAGATTTATTGTATGACACACCGCAATGTTTAAGTTTAAAGGAGCACTTTAGGGTCAGGAACACAAACATGTATTCTTGACCCAAAGGGTTAAAACCACCATCTAGCCACCCTGGTCCCCTCATGCCACCCTAAATATTGTAAAATCTTACTTGTATTCAAGTCTGGAGCTGCATGCTTTGTCACGGTTTCTTTTAGACCTTCCCACTGCCTACTGACATCATCAGAAGTGGTAGCCTGATCCAATCACAATGCTTCCCCATAGGACTGGCTGAGACTGACAAAGAGGCAGGTCAGGGGCAGAGCCTGCACAATTAAAACACAGCCCTGGCCAATCAGCATCTCCTCATAGAGATGAATTGAATCAATGAATCTCTATGAGGAAAGTTCAGTGTCTGCATTTTAGGCAGCCATGACCCAGGAAGGATCTTTAACACCTATCTGAGGAGTGGCCAGCGAAGTTATCACTAGGCTGTAATGTAAACACTGCATTTTCTCTGAAAAGACAGTGTTTACAGCAAAAAGCCTGAAGGTAATGATTCTACTCACCAGAACAAATCCAATAAGCTGTTCTGTTCTGGTGACTATAGAGTCACTTTAAGTTCTGAATTAAGTGTCTAAAAAGGCTTTCTTACTTGATACTATGAATCAGATATTTCTTTTGTTTCTTTCACTTTCTTAAAACTCAGTTTGAAAGATTCCGGAGTAAAATCATTCAAGCTACATTCAGTGCTCCGGGAGTTAAGTTTCCACATGTTGAAATACCCGATAATGAAGCTCTAGAGGCTATGCAGGTAAGACCGTTTCATTTCTTCTTAATGGAGTGCAGGAATTATTTGTCCAGCCATTGCCAATGTCAGATGATTTTCTTGATGCATTTCAGACACAAGTTCACCTTGTTTTGTGACAGGTGACACAATATAAATGTGTAGTTTAACCACTATCCTCACGGTATACTTTCAGAATCAAAGTGCATTTGAAATTTAAAGGGACACCACGACCTGTTTTTTTCATTTTACAAAAAGTGTAGATATTGATAGATATTGGCACTTTTATAAATTAACCTTATTACACCCCCTAGCTGTCACTTGGAATTTTGCAAGTTGTTTTTTCGATATACCCCCAATTAAAAAAAAATCATAAATAAAATCGTTCCTAATCTAAACAGTGATTTTTATTTTATGTACCTATTTTATTTGGAAAGTGCAGTGTCCCTTTAAGGATAGCTAAACACAACGCATCGCTGATTTATTCCACTTTGGCTATTTTGACCTAAATTTTACATTTACTTTCAATTCAGTTTGAATTCTCACTTTACTCACTTTAGTAAATAGCCCTGTATAAACTTAGACCCCTAACTAATATGGTGGGTATACACTGAGAAGAAACATAATACAAGATATGAGAACTCATTTAGTAGACAGTTGGCTGTTAGAGTAGGACCTGCCAAAGATGAGGTACATTGACGTTGTGGCAGGCTTATGCAATGTATGATCATATAATGTAACTAAACCCCCATTATTTTTTGCCTAGATTAGGTGTTTTTAATAAAACTAGCAAAATCGGTCAGCACCAATGTGGCTGTTTTAGTAGATAAGGGAGTGCGCTGTCTCTTCATTTTTACTAATACAAGATATGTACACATTACTGCAGTAAAAAATGAATAGGGGTTAATTAATGCAAAATCTTTAATAAATGTGTTATCATTTGACTTACAACATGCATAGTTACCAATTGTCCCGTTTATGTTGGGACAGTCCCAAATTTTGATCTCCTGTCCCTTCTGTCCAGTCCCAGGACTTCTCCTGTATTCAAAAAATGTGTCCGTAGTTTATTTTGTGTACCAATTTCAAATGGAACTGCTAGCCGACAAAAAAAGCTGCTACAGCTATTGAAAAGGGCAAGGAAGACTCAGAGGACCATTAGACGCACCAACATATTTATTCACAAATGCAAGAATTCAAAGTAAATTTTACATTTAAGACAAAAATAGATGGAATGGAAAAATTCTCTAATTCAGCTATTTCTTCAGACTGGCAACTTTAACCTTAAATTTGAAAATCACTTTGAATTCTCACTGTAATTAATTACTCTGCAAGTCCCCCTCCTTTGTAATTAAGATAAAGTAACTTATTTTCACGCTTTCCGGTGCACCGCAGCTGGTTTAGAGGGTATTATCTCACTCTTTAGTCTCCTTCTTTACCTCCCTATTCAATATCAGTGACTCCTTTTGAATTCTGCAGCCAGTGTGCATGGGGGTGCTGCGGTCAAGTGTCAGTGGAGTAATTCACGAACACGTCTACAAGCTCATCGCACCCACAGTTCAAAATCGCCACATTGGAGAAATTCTCAGAATTTGTTGGTGCTTTAGAAATGCCAGTGATGATGATAATAACATTAAATCCGTTATGTTTACAGCTTGGCTACTTTGGCATGATATTTGGAATTCTATAGTGAATTCCTGACAAGTCACAGTATAGTGAGCAAACCTGATGTTAAGATGCATGGCTGCACTTTTTATGCCTGCAGTGTCCCTTTAAGTTGTGCATGGAATTATGGGTACTATGAATTTGGCATTCATTAGGTTTCCGCACGGTATGCTAAGCCTTTGAGAACAGATTTCCTTTAAATTTGAAGTCTAGCTTTTCAGAATTTATGATGCACATGGATTAATATATTTTTTTCTTCTTTTTTTGTGTCTTTGATAGAGAATAATTACAGAACGGTCAGACTACCACCAGCAGCTGAAGCAAAAAGGGGTAAAAGTGCCTCCACTTCACAGCTTGGAAACCATTACTAAACAGTTGCCATCAACTCCACGAAAACATAAATGAACTACAAAAAGACTTTACTTAATGATGTATAAGTTATCAAGTATATTGAACACTGTCTATTACAAGTCATGGTTAGAATTGTCAGCACAGTCAGATTGTTCTCCTGGACATCAACGTTTAGACAAGCAAACTACTCAATAGGAATTCTGTACATTCCACACTTTTGGATCATTCAGTTTGGTCCATATTTACTCCCTATTGCAAAACTTGCACGGGCATGCCAATTGATCTTACTACTTTACCCCACAATTTACTCCTATTTCTGAATTCCTGGGGACAGGGGGCCATTTAACCGGTAACTCCCAGGTATTAAAAGGATCATCTCCTACTCCCACTCTTATTTAACCCTCATCTCAGACCCTAGGAAATAGGGAAATGAGCAGGTGTGCAACAAGGGACTTTTTATATGTATAAAACTAAACAAATAATATTTTTGCTAATAAATAATGAATTTAGAAGAAAATAATGTAATTTGGTTTGTTATGCATCAAAGGTATAACATTTTTACCCAAGAGTTGTGTATAGATTGTGAAGTGCTGCATAATAATTAAGTTAATATATTATGCTATTCACAACTCATCGAGCGCCAAATGAATGGTATAGGGGTATTTCAGGGTTATTTTAAGGACCTCTTGCGTCAACGGAAGGAACTATTCCCTTCACTGAACTGAATGGATTGGATTATATGTGTTGTGACATTGTTTGAGTTAAACGAAAATAGAGGATGATTATAAGTAAAAGTAAAAGTTGTTTTCTGCCTTTATTTAAATTAAAGCTTCAAGAATCTGGCATGCTCTTATTGTTTTCTTTATTATTTTAGTTCCCGACCATGGGGTAGAGGTGGGGGCAACCATTGTTCAACGCCTGGTTCAATATGTAAGGAATAATTGACCACAGGCCGTTGAATTATTAGAAAAATAATGCACACCCGAGGTGGTAATGTGGTCATGACGCGAAGCGAACCTTGGGTGTGCATTATTTTTTTTCTAATAATTCAACGGCCTGGAGTCAATTATTCAGTTTATACTACAGTTATCACACCTCGAAATATTGTTCAGATGATGTATTTCAAGACTTTTGTCAAGTTTTTGTCATTAAAACGCTCTTGTATGTAGGACTAATTTCTTATGTAACTGTAATGCGGTCAAGACCTGTAAGGAACTACTTTAGCTGTGCGTCTCCCTGAAAATAATGCACACCTTTAGAAGGTTCGTCAACCAATCATACTGAAGCGTTCAACGGCCCTGTAGTATAAATTTGTCTAATGTGGCACAGAATGTGGGTCACGGAGTTGTGTCCTATTGCTGATTCACAGCCACATACTTTGATGGAACCTGAGCCGTGTTCATTTCCATGCTAACTGGAGCTGTCAGTAAATCGTAAACTTCAATTCTGTTCATCTAATACAATAAAGTTCATTAACTACATAATATAATAAAATATATGCTGTTATTCGTTAACATGAGAATGGTCAGAAATTCTAAGTCATTTGAAAATGAATTTGAAATCTAAGACCAGAATAAATGAACTGGAAGCAGAGCTAACTTGAAGAATTTTTCCACTTGAACTTGAAATTCACATTGATTTACTGTCAATTCTCATTTAATGGATAACATGATGGTGTCAGGCCAGGCTCCATTGAGCAGAAAGAGAGTCTTCTGATTGAATCATACTATTCAGTCTAATATAAATCTGGTATTATGTCTTATTATATTATGTAATAATAATTATAATATGTATTAATAATAATTAATAGTGGTCAATTTATTCATAGCCAAAATACTAGCCAGCATCTTCTAAAGTAGAATGATTGACGAGAAGCACCATTTTGGTCCTATTTATGAGAGATGGCCTGCGAAGGAACGTACACATACATGCCCAGCCATTCTGGAGATTGTTTCTTTAATTTTCAGTCCATATCATCAGTAGCACATACCTACCAACAGTCCAAGGTTAGTTAAGAGAGTTACGAATTTGAGCTAGACAGAAATCCAAACACACTCACGCCGGGCAGAGAAATATCAGGGCATTGACACCATGACAGAGGATATCAGAAGCCATGAGTGGCGTTGGGTAGAGTGTTTATAAGTTAGTCTGACATAAAGTATCACACAAACTTATGTGTGTACTCCGTATATTTAACATGGCTCTATATCTCCTGGGAGTGAGAGGAAAATCTCTCTCATTGGTGTCTATGAAACAGCCAATGTTCCAAACAGTTACATGCACCAACTGACATGAAAAAGTGGCATGACGTGGGTTGAGCCCCTACTGGCGCCCCAAATTCAGTATTCTCAATTCATAAGCAATGGAAACAGACACTACAGAGGTGAGCTACACTGCAAATACATAAATATTTCTGCTATTTTAATTAAGAAAATGTATGTAGCCAAAACATGCATCACATGTATAGATGACCCTTATTTTTATTTTGGTATGTTCTGGTATATCTGAACTTCAACAAGTTATAAAGTAAAAAGCAGGAGAACCAGCAGCCCTTATTCATAAAATGACAATGTTTAGGCCTCATGCCAGGCCTATGTAGAGTGAACCTGACAAAGACCTGATATGAGACTGAAATGTCCTAACTTTATGTGTTTGCTACAGTAAATGATAGCTGTGACTAAGGAGTGCTGGGCTGTTGTGTTTGTTGTTTTTTTAAATTATGGTTTTGACGGTCCAAAGGTTTCACACACCATAAAAGGACTGTAATAAGTGAATGCTCACCCTTCATTTCATTTATAGACAGTATGACATTAAAGCAACACTCCAACACCATAACCACTACAGTCTGTTGTACGGGTTATGATACCAGAAATGCCCTGGTGTCTTAACAGGGTAAGTAGTCAGGTCATTTGCGAACTGTTTGACAACTTAACTGTGGTCTGCTGGGCACTGGTTGCCTCCTCTTTTGAAGCCAGAAACTTCTGCAAGGAACTTCCGTTCACTCTACTGATCTAAGCCCTGCTGTTCATTGCCGACCGTGTCTGAGTGCTTCAGCTATACGCTCTCAGCCAAGGAGCTAAGCCCTGAACTGCTGGCTGAAGTTTGACTACTTGCCCCGGGAGAACTCCAGGGAACTCACGGCACCTCAAGCACTATAGCAGTCTTTAGTGGTTGTGTTGCTGGGATTGTTCCTTTAAATAAAATTTAGCAAGGCTTTGAATAGACTGACAATCAGATGTTAGAGCCAAACATGAGAACCCATTTTGATGTCACCAGACCCAGGGTGGCTTCAAAACTTCATAAAGATATAAGCTGATAAGTGTGGATTGAGGATCATTCTCCAGGAATTTATGTAATGTCACCTTAATAAATATTCAGCTGAATGCTCTATGTCTGCTGTAGTCTGTCTTTCACTTCTATGGTGAACTTTTGATATTTTTCATGTGTTCATTTCTGGAACGAGCAGAGTTTGCTAACTGAATGCAATGCAGATGGAGAAATTAGTGACAGTGAAGATGCCAGTCATTTATGTAACTCGATTCCAGACCTCCCAGATGTAACTTACAGCAAAGAAGATCAAGTTAAGGCGTTACAACATGAACTAGAAAGCCTGATAAGAGTCCATGAGATAAGTAAAGGTATCATCATAGGAGTGTACCATACATTGCATTAGGGTGTTCACAGCATTGATGGGGAGTAGGACCGGTCAAGGAGATACGCAGATGCCTACGGGTGCCACTCAACTTTGTTAAAAGGTCCTATTCGATAGCCGGCATTAGATAAGACAGAAACATTTGCCCCTCTCATTGTGACCCAGTATTTGTTAATTTGGTTATTATTGTTAGCATTTATATAGTGTCAGAGTAGCCCGCAGAACTTTACAATCATGCAGTGGATGTAAGGTTATACCCCACTCATGTTTTCCTTTTCTTTTCTCCTTTCCATCACATTTCTTTTAAACATATCTTTTTGTGGGTGGTGGTTTACTGACACAACTACACCTCAAAACCAATCATAACCTTCATGTTATCTCCTCCTTTTCTCTATAGAATGGCTTTGAAATACTATCCAGATGAGTACAGTGATTGGCGGTGGGGCAGAGTACAGTCAGCAATTCAGCTCCCACACTCCTTATCCATTAGCTGTGCACACTGCCTACCTTCCAATTAGGAAGACATTATGTGAAAAAGGGAGGTGTGGCCCAAGGGGTGGAGCTTTGCTGCAGAAAGCAGCACAACTTAGAGCCTGGCGTTTTTCTTTAACTTGGATAATGTTTTACACGTGAATTGTGCATTAGAGTTCATTTGGCCAGTGGGAGCTTTGCTTTGGCATCAGTAAATTGAGGTTTTCAAGTGCTTTATTTATGTTTTAATTCAGTATGGTAACATATATATATATATATATATAAAAACTTGGAATTCCTGCACTCCAACTATATAGTAATGTAGCCTGGTGCCTAGTCACAATGTAATATACAAAAATAGAAATAATACCGGCACTCTAGGCCTTCCAAAGATCGTTTGTTTATTTTCAGTCAATCCAGAGGGTCAACGTTTCAGCTCCCGTTTGGAGCTTTCATCAGGACACATCAAAATCATTTTACATAATGACAAGCTTAAATAGGACTAAAAATCATAATCACTCACCAAACCAGCTGCTATATATATATATATATATATATATATACACACACATACTTTATATTCTTATACTTTTTTTCTCTCTTTTTAAAAAAAAAATATATATATAAATATATTTAGGAACAGTCATCTCACTGCAGAGACAAATTTCATTACAAGAATGTCAACTCAGGAGATCAGAGTCTGAAAAAGATACCCTGCAGAGACACCTAAAGGAGAGAATCATTCAGATCAAGGCCATGTCTTCCAAGGTATTCACAAGTAACAATCAGTTTTCACCAGTTGCCTAGCATACCTCACAAGTGTCCCTATTTAGGAGGGACAGTCCTAAACTATTCTGTCCTTCTAATCTATCCTAATATCCCTCTTTTTTTTAGGACATCTGTATTGTTGGTATGTCTGAGTGTATAACAGAGCTTCACAGCAATAATACTCACAGTAATGTGTCTTCAAACTACAATAAATGTGTTTTGAAATCAGTCTGTGTAAATAAGATACATTGCTCTTGTTCTTAATTAAATTTCAGTTGTATACATTTTTATTAGTAAGTCACCTAAAATATCTCAGAACAGTCACGACTCTTACAGCACAAAAATTAAAGTGTCCCTCTTTGTCCATTTGAAATGTTTGGAGGTACAGTCTAGTTACTCTAGTTACCTGTACCATAAGAAGGTATTCAGCCCTTGTGATTTACATAATGCATTATAGATCGTATTACTTTTTGGTTTTCAGACAATTGTTTATGCCAAGTTATTTAACTTTTAAAACCATGTTCAACTGTTATCATCTAGAGTTAGACATATAAATCAGATCTACCTGTGTTATAGATTAACTAACTTTTCGCTAGTAGTTTATCAAAATAAAAAACTACAAAAATTCCAAGACACGTTTTAAATTAATAGCTACCAGCAAAAATTTGAAACTTTTTTAATGATTTGTTCAAATTTAGCGGCTTAAAATTTTGATTTAAAACATAAGCGAAACCCAGTTGCTTTTCCAAGAATCGTTTGGTTCCCTTTAAAACGTTGACATTAAAATGTTATCATTTTGACCATACAGCATTGCTCAAATTCCCACTTTCTATCCTCTGTCACCAGAGCCAATTTCAGCCTTTCATATCAGTACCCTTCACAGGCTTTTCTATTAATAGCCTCTCCGGACTTCCTTACAACATCCAGCATTCACTATCAGTACCTGCCTCCCACTTGTTCGTCTGCAACATATCCACCATTTTTAATTGGGCCCATTTCCAGCTTTCTCCATCAGCATTCTAGCGAGCCTTGTTAGTAAATACCGGTAGCCTCTCTAGTTTTCTATAAACTATTCCCTCACCACTTCAGTAAGTACCGACTGATACTATCTCTGTTAGAATAAGCTGGGTTATGTGACAGTAGGGAAGCATATCACTTACTAGCCACTGTCATGTTGTTGATGTGGGTTCCCTTGCTATCGTTATTACTCTGATATGCAGTAAAAAAATTCTTAAATACCAATTGTCCCATCATGAACAACTTTGAAATAGCATTGCGTTTATATGATCACAGCAATTTTAAAGTGCCGTTAATAACACTGTGTAAAAAAAAAAAAAAAAAACCATGGTTAGGACTTTTAACAGGTTTAAACATATGATTTTTATTTTTTTCTGTTTGTTTATGTTTTTGTTTGCGATTTGGTTCTTTTTTATTTTGTAGCATCAGGATCTCTTTTTATTTTAATGTGGTCTTTTGTGGGTCTGAAGAAAAAAGAAGACAAGAAGAAATATTTTTTTGAAGGAACACATGACAATTTTTTACAGGTGTTAGGTCTATTGGGCCCTCCTCAATGTGAAGGTGAGGTGGTAGGTAGGATTTTTTTTGTATTGTGGGGCATGGTCAGGGGCTTGAGGACCCATAAACACCGTGGGGCAGAGGCATGCTGTGGCCAGTACTTTTTTGGGTGGGCAATGCTATTGCTATGCCATGTGCTAATGCCAATATTACCACACCTGAAGCTAATACTATGTCCATCCCTTTCTTTATCCATACCCCCACTCAAAGCATATAGGTGGGCAGTACGGTGGTGGACACTGTATGTCCACCTCCCCTTCTTTATTCTTAGATAGCCCCCACCTGGAGCCAATATTTTTACCCATTACTACATACCAGTATGATTATAAATAATTCACCTGTGTGTGTATCCAAATGACCTCAGCAAAAAAGAGATCATGGCAACTAAGCACCTTTAGTTTATAATTTAATTTGAACAGAATTAGGGTGTTTTCTGAAATAAGTAGATTTGCTTTTTCCCTTTAAAGTTTTCAAGACTGCGGGAAGAGGGAAATCATGAAGAAATGATGGCTGCTATAAGAAAGGAAAACTGTGACATTAAAGAGGTAAGCTGATACAAACCAGCATTAAGTGCACTGTAAATGACAGAGCAATAATTGACTTCAAAATTATACATATTTTCTGTAAATTCTTTATTTTTGGAGTGCAGTGGTACATAGACAGAGCTACGTTGAATGGTATATAAATTGTGGCAAAACCCAAGAGGACTGTGCACTGGCAATGAAATAACTCTGTGGGTCACATGACAGAGTATAGAGAATGGTCAGATTATAATCTAGGGCAAGGATAGGCACCCCAGATGTTGTGGACTACATCTCCCTTGATGCTTTGCCAGCATTATGGCTGTAAGAGAATTATGAGATGTAAGCCAAAACATCTGGAGTGCCGAAGGTTGCCTATCCCTGATCTAGGGGCACAATGCTTGGGGTGGTAGACCCAGGTATAGCTGCATATGTAAGGGACCCTAGACATGGTAAGCCACTTAGCCTAAGCCACTTGGCAAGGCCAACGCTGGCAAAATGCCAGTTAAAACAGGGTAGGACCCCTCTCAGAAAAAACAACTGGCTGGAACCCCATTCAGGTGTCGGTGCATAGAGACAAGCATGCCCTAGAACAATCTACTGTACAGTTAGGGGGTCTGAGCGAGGCTGTGAAGTTTCCCCGATGATTCACACCACCTGGTTGCTTCATCCGTCTCTTTCTTCGCATTGAGCGTACCAGGGTTCCCTACTCACCGCATTCCACCCCTGCAGGAGATCAAAAGTGCTCCATCGTGGCACTAATTGGTGTACCTTTGTGAGCTAATCAGGCAGCTCTGGCGTAGTGTAAGGGGGGGGGGGTGATGCTGGATCCATGTGTATGATCAGTGCCCTGTGTATGCTGGAATCCTTTGCTGCCCCAATCAATCCCAGTAGGCAGCGCATATACTAATGAATGCTGCCAGAAAGCCAGGGCTAGGCCTCACAGGCCCCGCGTAGTCCTGCTCAGTCACCATTTTAGTTGCTGGAGCTAATACCCTTGTGTTTTTGACCCCCTGCTGATTTTGAACGTTTGCCCACTGACAAAAAAATGATCTGTCTATAATTGTAATGGTAGGCATATTTTAACAATGAGAGACAGAATAACAAAACAAAAAAAATCCAGAAAAATGCATGTCAAAATAGTTGATTGATTTGCATGTCACTGAGTGGAATAAGTATTTGATCCCTTCGACTTAATACTTGGTGGCAAAACCCTTGTTGGCAATCACAGAGGTCAGACTTTTCTTGTAGTTGGCCACATCTCAGGAGGGATTTCGTCCCACTCCTCTTTGCAGATCCTCTCCAAGTCATAAGGTTTCGAGGCTGACGTTTGGCAACTCGAACCTTCAGCTCTCTCCACAGATTTTTTATGGGATTAAGGTCTGGAGACTGCCTTGGCCACTCCAGGACCTTAATGTACTTCTTCTTGAGCCACTCATTTGTTGCCTTGGCTGTGTGTTTTGGGTCATGGTCATGCTGGAATACCTATCCACGACCCATTTTCAATGCCCTGACTAAGGGAAAGAGGTTCTCACCCAAGATTTGACGGTACATGGGCCCGTCCATCGTCCCTTTGATGTGGTGCAGATGTCCTGTCCCCATAGCAGAAAAACACCCCCAAAGCATAATGTTTCCACCTCCATGTTTGACGGTGGGGATGATGTTCTTGGGGTCATAGGCAGCATTTCTCCTCCTCCAAACATGACGAGTTGAGTTGATGCCAAAGAAGTCGATTTTAGTCTCATCTGACCACAACACTTTCACCCAGTTCTCCCAGAAATCTTGCTGATTGATAGGGGATCAAACATTTATTTCACTCATTGATATGCAAATCATTTTTTTTGTTATTCTGTCTCTCACTTTTAAAATACACCTACCATTAGAATTATAGACTGGTCATTTCTTTGTCAGTGGATAAACATTCAAAATCAGAAGGGGATCAAATACATTTTTCCCTCTCTGTAGCAGGGTGTGCTCAGGTTTGTGCCAGATAAAAGGTAAAAGAGTAATGGATTATCCCTCACGGGCAGGAGAGGGTGAGGGGAAAACAGGGTAGTCCACTGTGTCTTCCACTGGTAAATCATGGGGTGAGGGATCGGCCACCTCCCACATTCTTGTGTCACTAGACCGCAGGACAGCCCTGGGAGGTCATCCAGTAAATGAAGAGAGCAGAGTAGGAGCCCCAGGTATGCAGTAGGTCAGCAGTACCAAATTAGCTCTCGAGGTTTCAGCCAAAAAGAACTCTGTTATAAGAAATGTCCTGGAGCTCATGTGGTGTGTGACTGCTCACCATGCTGGTCAATCCCTCCAAAATTATATTTTTAAAGTTCAGTTAAAAATGATGCAATCAAAATTAAGGCCATAATTTTGTCTCATGGAAAGTATTTTTGTACTTCAGGACACAAGAAATGTTGAAATTTTTGCTCTGAGTGTGTTCAACCCCAATTTCCATCTATCTCATTTACTGCGCTAACATTTATTCTTTACCAATTTTTGAATGACAAGGGAGAAGCAGTTACATCTGTGGCCAGCATGCAAGGCACGCTGACGACAGACATAATTAATGCACAGAATTGGCATTAGTGCAATTTGCCCTCTCCCCCCGCACACAACTAAGAATTACTCTTGATGTGCAGTGTTTCAAGCCAGAGTCCTACCATGGTGACCACTTCAAAACGCAGAAGTGGTCATGGTGGTTGGAGAAACCCTTTAAACCCCTGGTTGCAGCGCTCACCTATTCTGGCCCCAGCTGATAGAGAGGACCGCCAGGTATCAAAAGATAACTGGGTTGTTGCCATCAGGGATTTAACCCTTCTGTTAGTTTTATTACATTACAGTCTACGCTGTCACTGGACATTAAAGCCCTGTATTGCATAATGGCATAAAAAAGGTTTCCAAAAATATTAAATCTTTTGAAAAGCTTATCCCACTTTATTATAAAGGATTATAACGTGTCATCATAGCACAGGAAAAATGTAAAAATAAAATGTCAGATTGTTAAATTTAGAAACACTTTATTGTTCAGCATATGTGTTCATTAACTTTAAAAGGAGACCTGTTACCTCAACACTATCTTTTAATATAATGAACCTTTCATCAGGTTTTGAAAGGAAATAGATCTTTGATACATTAAAGGGATACTATAGCGCCAGGAATACAAAGCTATATTCCTGGCACTATCGCTCCCCATGTCTCCCCGCTCCCTCCACGCCCCCCCTACCATGTGAACAAAGGGTTAAAAACCTTATCCCAGCGCTTATGTCCCTTGGTCGACGCTTTGCCCCCTCCAAAGTCCCGCAACTAGCAGACCCTAATGCGCATGCACGCGCCTGCATATTAGACCTTCCCATAGGAAAGCATTCAATCATTTGAATCCTATGGGGAAAAATATGACGCTGGAGGTCCTCATGCAGAGCGTGTATAAACATACACCATGGGTCAAACAGTGATTGAATTTGACCAGTATTCATTTTAATAATGTCATTGCACTGTGCAAGAGGTGAAGCTGGAAAGACCATAGAAACTATATAAAGGTTTTTCCACACTGTCTAACCAAAGGTGTACGTATATGGCTGAAGGATCCTGTCATATATTAAAGGTAGGCATATGTTTTTCAATTATTTTTATTTATATATACTTCATTTAACACAGAATCCTTTCTAAACTTGGTGAAAAGATCATTATATTAAAAGATAGTGACAATTGTCTTTTAACTTTGTTATTCTACAATCTTTTGGCCATTGCTTTGCATACCTCTGTAAAAAAATAAATGTCTATATTACGAAACACAACACAAATTCTGATTGCATTGCTCAATTTTTTTTTTTTTTAACATATTGCTTGTTAGTGAAGTGCCTGATTTCTTTTGTTGAATGTGAAGATTTAATTTGCTATTCTGTTTTCCATAATCCCTTTCTGTCTTTAGCTTGTTTTAGAACTGAAATCGGAGCTGATAAAACAAAATGATAAAATTGATGAGTTCAAGACCCAAGTTCTGGGTCTACAGAAGGAGACTATAGAATGTCAAACTGAAATTAATAAACTTAAGGAGGAAAAGCACAATATTCAGAGCAAGGCTGAAGATTTAGAGTATTCTGAGCTACATGTGAAAATGGATCTGGAAAGTCTGAAGACCCGGGTAGATGCATAGATGGGATAAACCATCAATTAAAACTATTATACAAAAATGTCTAACACATGCTAATAGGCCTGTTACACTCTATAAGTCCCTATAATAATAAATGTGAAAATGTCATTGGAAAGTCTAATGATTCGGGTAAATGCATAGATGGGATAACCCATCAATTAAAACTATAATTGATAAAGAAAAAAAATAACAAAACTTTAATGGGAAATAAAGTAGATATAAAAAAATTAAAGAAACTTAAAAGACGCCTATATTACATCATTAAAATCCTTCAGCATCTAGCCCATTTTAATAGTGTAATATTTGTGTATTTTTATTCTATTTTTATATTCCTACTTTATTTCCACTTGCCATGCATGCGCATTTTATCCCCAATGCTCCCCTATGAAAAGCATTGGATTGGATAGGAGAAGAGATAGTGTGCCATCATAGGTGACAAATCAAACGGCTACAGGAAAGGGATCAGCTGGAATAAAGGTGAGTAAATACCTTTCCATTTTTTTTTTCCTTTACATTTAAGGGGGCCCTGAATCTAATTGGTGAAGAGAACACTACAGTGTTATTCCTAATGCTGTGGAGTTTCTTTAAATATATTGCTGATTTAAAGAACGCAGGTAATAGATACATTATGGTTGAATATTTTTTCATGTAATATCATAAAATGCCAGTAGAGGCTGCCCTAACTGTTCCAAAAGCTCCATAGCATACTTTCTGCTATACTTTCTGCTAGCCAAAAAGATGGATGGATGATCACTTTTTTTTTAAATGTTTTATAAGATTTGAATGTTTTAGAATAATATAGTAATCAGAAGGTAGAACAGAACAGACTGGGAACAAACATCATATAACGGTTAATGTTGGTCATTTTTAAATGCTGAGAGAGGGGTGCAGGTGAGAAGAGAGCAGAATGACGCACACACACACATACACACACAGACACACAGACATGGCTGTCAGCTGCTGCCATAAAGTATACAGGGCGATAATGTGATTGGTCACTTTCAGCCTGCTGCAGCAAGCACGTTACGATGAACAGTATTTGATCAGTTGACAGCAGAATGTGACCCACCATGGCTACTCAGCATAAAACAAAAAAACTAAGAAAAAGGTTACTTGCGCCCTATCCCGAATCTCTATGCACACCTAAATAACTTTTTATAGAAATAAATAATGGGATGTAATAAACCCTCAGGGAGAGTAAAATAATAATAACCTTCTTTTACTTTCTTGTGTCTAGTTTGAGAAATTCCGTAGTAAAATAATTCAGATTACATTCAGCGCTCCGGGAGCAACTATTCCAAAAGTTGAACTCACAGACGATGACATTCTAGAAGCCATGCAGGTAAAATGAATATTTGTTTTTTTTAGATTAATTTCAAGTGCAGCTAATTTAGTCAATATATCAATCTATTTCAAGCAGTTTAATAGAAAAAGTTATATATATATATTGTATTACAATATACAGGGAGTGCAGAATTATTAGGCAAGTTGTATTTTTGAGGATTAATTTTATTATTGAACAACAACCATGTTCTCAATGAACCCAAAAAACTCATTAATATCAAAGCTGAATATTTTTGGAAGTAGTTTTTAGTTTGTTTTTAGTTATAGCTATGTTAGGGGGATATCTGTGTGTGCAGGTGACTATTACTGTGCATAATTATTAGGCAACTTAACAAAAAACAAATATATACCCATTTCAATTATTTATTATTACCAGTGAAACCAATATAACATCTCAACATTCACAAATATACATTTCTGACATTCAAAAACAAAACAAAAACAAATCAGTGACCAATATAGCCACCTTTCTTTGCAAGGACACTCAAAAGCCTGCCATCCATGGATTCTGTCAGTGTTTTGATCTGTTCACCATCAACATTGCGTGCAGCAGCAACCACAGCCTCCCAGACACTGTTCAGAGAGGTGTACTGTTTTCCCTCCTTGTAAATCTCACATTTGATGATGGACCACAGGTTCTCAATGGGGTTCAGATCAGGTGAACAAGGAGGCCATGTCATTAGATTTTCTTCTTTTATACCCTTTCTTGCCAGCCACGCTGTGGAGTACTTGGACGCGTGTGATGGAGCATTGTCCTGCATGAAAATCATGTTTTTCTTGAAGGATGCAGACTTCTTCCTGTACCACTGCTTGAAGAAGGTGTCTTCCAGGAACTGGCAGTAGGACTGGGAGTTGAGCTTGACTCCATCCTCAACCCGAAAAGGCCCCACAAGCTCATCTTTGATGATACCAGCCCAAACCAGTACTCCACCTCCACCTTGCTGGCGTCTGAGTCGGACTGGAGCTCTCTGCCCTTTACCAATCTAGCCACGGGCCCATCCATCTGGCCCATCAAGACTCACTCTCATTTCATCAGTCCATAAAACCTTAGAAAAATCAGTCTTGAGATATTTCTTGGCCCAGTCTTGACGCTTCAGCTTGTGTGTCTTGTTCAGTGGTGGTCGTCTTTCAGCCTTTCTTACCTTGGCCATGTCTCTGAGTATTGCATACCTTGTGCTTTTGGGCACTCCAGTGATGTTGCAGCTCTGAAATATGGCCAAACTGGTGGCAAGTGGCATCGTGGCAGCTGCACGCTTGACTTTTCTCAGTTCATGGGCAGTTATTTTGCGCCTTGGTTTTTCCACACGCTTCTTGCGACCCTGTTGACTATTTTGAATGAAACGCTTGATTGTTTGATGATCACGCTTCAGAAGCTTTGCAATTTTAAGAGTGCTGCATCCCTCTGCAAGATATCTCACTATTTTTGACTTTTCTGAGCCTGTCAAGTCCTTCTTTTGACCCATTTTGCCAAAGGAAAGGAAGTTGCCTAATAATTATGCACACCTGATATAGGGTGTTGATGTCATTAGACCACACCCTTCTCATTACAGAGATGCACATCACCTAATATGCTTAATTGGTAGTAGGCTTTCGAGCCTATACAGCTTGGAGTAAGACAACATGCATAAAGAGGATGATGTGGTCAAAATACTCATTTGCCTAATAATTCTGCACTCCCTGTAATTCTTTTTCCCCTGGTTATTTTTCATGGCGGCATACATGTAGATAGTTCCCCTCTTCTCATTTGACAGATGAGAAATTATGACGTTAAAAACGTAGCACCTGCAGGTTAGGAAGTAATTATACTGCCATGCAATATAACAAGATAAACAAAACTATGATAAGTATGAAGACATAACCATGGTAACATGCATATGGGTAGTACCCATGCCTATAAACAAAAGATAGTGAAGCCATATGCAAACCTATTAATACATTTAACAGAAGAAAGTTATTTGTGCCTAAATTTGTCATCTGAAGAACTTGTTGCTTGTAATGTTAGATAAGGGTATCCAAAGACCTCCATAATGCAGCCCAACAAATGCTCTCAGGAGAGACCTCGGATTCAGTTGTTCTAGAAGCAGATTTGTATCTCGTTGAGTGGTCTTGCCCTTCTCTATATAGGCTTTTCATATTATGGAAATAATCCAGGAATGAAGGCTTGATGTAAAGGCTCTTCCGCAGCACCCATTTGGTAGAACTAAGTCTGTCTGACTTCTCCAATCAAGTGTTCAAGGAAAGAGTGGCACCTATCTAAATCAAATATATGCTATTGCTTTTCTTGCTCTGTGGAATGTTCAGGAAGCATAAGTTGTAGGATCACCTCCTGATTCAAATGAAATAGGGAAGCAAAGCCTCATTCACCCCCCAGAGGGTTAGTGTGGTGGAATTGGAGCGGTTAATGAGATAGCATGAGCGTGGCAGGGTGAAAGGGGGTGAGTGTCAGAGTGATGGAGAAAAAGTGTGACAGGATTGGGGGGGTGAGTGTGACAGTGCGAGAGAAGGTGAGTGTAATGGGGTAAATATGGCAGAGTGATGGGTGGAAAAAATGGCATGGGTGAGTGACAGGATTGGTGGGAAAGTATGACAGTGCGAGAGAAGGTGAGTGTAATGGGGTGAATATGGCAGAGTGATGGGAGGTAGGTATGGCATGGGTTAGTGACAGGATTGGTGGAGTGTGGCAAGGTGAAGAGGAGTGACAGTGTGTCTGGTTTGGTGACAGTTACACAGACACACCCAAGCATACACTGACACACATGAAGATATACAAACACTGACAAACATAAATAGATACATACACAGACACATGCTGATACACAGACACACATACACACACGGAAATGCAGACACAAAAACGAACACCAAGATACATATATAAACACACATGCAGATACACAAACACTTAAGGACAAACATTCTAATACACAGAATAACACTCATACAGATACAAACAGTGACACACATATAGATACACACAGACATACAGATACATATGAAGACAAATAGATACACATACAGACACACACACACACACACACACCCACATACATAAATACAGAGACATACATACAGAGACATGCACACACACACACACACACACATATACAGGGCCATACATACAGAGACATACACACATACAGAGACATACACACAGAGACACAAATTAAGAAAAAACAATATATATATGTGATACCTCAATTTCTACTGAAGTGTAGTGAAATAGAATATATTGGTATCCAAATATACTTATCTGATATATTCAATCAAACAGCCTCTCAAGGCCGTGGCCCAGTTCCTGACCTTTTACAATATATATATGAATACAGAAGGAAATGAGATATGGTTGTGTGCAATCTAAAACAGGAACAAAAAAAATACACATAGTGTAATACAGTAAAACAAATACTAGTGTGCTGAGATTATAATGTACTCACAAGATCAAGATTAATAGTGCGCCCGAAAGGTGCCTGCCCCGATAAACTTGGGCAGCTGAACGTCTCCACTCTCCACTGGAAATCCAAGCGGACCAAAATATGGAATGAGACTCCTGTAGGTACAGGTAAAATAAATGTACAAATTTATTGTAAAAAAAGAGGCCATATATATTAGCCACACAAAGTAAAATAGAGGATAGGTCCTACGCGTTTCGTTCTCATTTAATCATCTCATTTAACCCCTCTTATTGCAGTGTTAGAATTACAATGACACACTGCAATAAGAGGGGTTAAATGAGATGATTATATATTCAGATACACTTTTTAAAGTTTAATTGTATAAATAAGGGGAATAGAATGATATATTTTTTTAGCTAAATATGGATAGATTTGTATGTTCATATTTGTCATTAATTCTCTTTCTTTGCTAGGGGTTTTATTAATTATATATATTTCTGCAAAGTCTTTATTACCATTAGAAAAGAAATGCATTGGGCGACCTCTAGGTGGCAATATGCGCATTTGTCTATCCTGATCAAGTTGGAACGCATATGCTATTGGAACGCGGAAGTACAAAACGGACGTTACTTCCGGTTTCCGGTTCCATCTCTTCGCGCCAAGAAAGGACGATGAAACATCTACTCCGCAAGTGAATAGGACCATAGGATCATCGGTAACTCCCACAGGATCCACCAATGAACTGAGGGCTCAGCCCTATTTATAGAGACTCCGGGGGGGGAGGAGGGGAATAGTGTATGAATTTTTTTGTATTGATTGTTTTCACTGTTGTATTATTTGATTTTGGCCCCTGAGGAAGTTCCCAATCATAGGAACGAAATGCGTAGGACCTATCCGCTATTTTACTTTGTGTGGCTAATATATATGGCCTCTTTTTTACAATAAATTTGTACATTTATTTTACCTATACCTACCAGAGTCTTGTTCTATATTTTGGTCCGCTTGGATTTCCAGTGGAGAGTGGAGACGTTCAGCCGCCCAAGTTTATCGGGGCAGGCACGTTTTGGGCACACTATTCATCTTTATCTTGTGAGTGCATTATAATCTCAGCACACTAGTATTTGTTTTACTGTATTACACTATGTGTATTTTTTTTGTTCCTGTTTTAGATTGCACACAGCTGTATCTCATTTCCTTCTGTATTCACACTCATACATTAGTCACCCTCCTGTTTCCTACCTTTTGTAGCTCGTCTTTGCACTTTTTCTAGTGTGATGATATCCTTCTTTAGAACAGGTGCCCAAAATTGCACAGCATATTCAAGGTCTGGTATTACCAGCGATTTATAAAGAGAATTTATGCCCCTATTTATACATGACAAAACCTTACTGGCCCTAGCAACTGCAGATTGACAGTAATTTGTTGTCTATAACAATTCCCAAATCCTTCTCGTATGTGGTCATCCCTAGCTCACTACCATTTAGGGTGTAAGTTGCTTATGCATTCTTGACCCTGAATCTTAAATAGAAGCGGTCCCAAAACAGAACCCGGAGGGACACCACTTACCACTTCTGTCCAGCCTAAAAATTTACCATTAATGACAACT